ATTCGAATTGTATAATACTCACAAAGGTTTGAAGGAAGTCGAATTCGTCCTTGACAAGTTTGGTGTTGTTGTAATCATCGAACGAATTTTTAACGACTTGTCTAACAGACTCACGAAGATCTTGGGTATCTCCAACCAACAAGAAAGCGAATGCTCCAATTGCTACTTGTATTATCAGAAGGGTGAGAAGGATTATTGCAAACTGAAAAGTACAAATATTTCTTTAATAAACAGTGTGCAACTATAAATAATATGAATAATAATTCATTGTTTATTGTTGAAGCTGTTTTTTTTGGAAGTTATTCCTCTATCTTGTTCAGCATAACTGAGAAGTTGGAAGTCAAACGAGGAAAGGAAGAAGACAATTAGGAGTGTCTCTAGAATCATGCAATTTCTTGTGAACTTGATTAGTGAACAAGTAGAGAGGAATCAACTTTCTGTCCACCTCGCGACTCTGATTCCAGTCTTGTTGATTTTCAACTCTGTAGCCTTCGGATTAGCTTCAGTGGAATACATTCAGATATGGTAGTAGGGAGAAAAGAAATTCATTCAAAAATAAATTTACACAACGAACTACTCACCAGGAAATTGACAGATTTTGAAAACTGGCTATATAGGAACGCCGATTCATTCAAAAATTCATTAGAGTTAGTTCGACCAGCAAACAGTGTATTTCAGTGCGGCTTGTCATATGTCTAACTGAGTTGTATAGCATTTTCAAAGCATGTTAGATTTCCGTCCGATTCAAGCGCAGTGGACCAACAAAGATCCTTTTGACTTGTATGTAGTACAACAAGATGTTTGACATGTGGGTCGATTTAGTTGTAATTCTAATCAAATGAGGTGTATTTAGTTACTTGACCAAAAACTGTTTTCAAACGACATCTTTCAACGGACTGAGGAAAACATACACCAACATTAAGTCAAGGTGTCCTGTTTAACTATTCACTCGTATGTTTTTTGAATGTTACTGAACAAGATATTTACGTTACATTAAAACAGTTTTTATGTACAGAGAATCATTAAACAGTCACAAATGAATATAAAAACTTTATTGTTTTTTTTCTACAAGATACAGACAATGTCATGCAAATGATATTCTTTGGCTTGAAATAACCTTAAACCAATAACGAATAGAAAAAAAACCCTTTACTGATTTTGATAGATCATTTGTTGAATATTGTTGAAAAAAAACTAATATGATTGAACTGGAGAACAAACCATGAAACAACCAATCTACCAGTATAAACTAGAACTTGTTTACTCGAATGTGGTTCAGGATGTTCTCTGGTAAGATTCGAATTTTCATCGTCTAAAAAATGATTCGCATGAAAATAATATAAAAAATATGGGAACATACAGAAAAGGGCAAAATAGTTAAGGCTTTGGTGGCCTAGGTTTCCAGCGTCACTATTTACATTCGAGTTTGAAGGCGATCGATTTTTGTGGATTTTTTCCTGACGTTTCGCTGGTGCTAGTGGCCAGCTTTTTCTAAGGTTCATTTATCTATCTTGAGTTTATCTCCAATGACAAGGTTTTACGACTGCGTGAAGCGTGTTCATGTTGATTCAGGCAGTTTGTTGTGCTTATTGCATATCTTAATGAGGATCTCAGCAACTTTTGATGCTTAATAAAACTCAGATTGGAACGCTTTGAGGATTTTTCTGTAGCGTTAGTGATTGGTCCTCAATACAAAAAAAAAACCTGAATCTATGAATTGTCAGTAACATTACCCTTCTCTTTCTGTCGACATGATGTTTGTTATTCTTGAACTTTTCAGAATGTGATTCCGTATTCGGTGGGGTTTACAGCTCTCTCTCTTTTCTGCTAACATTTTTCATGTGTTGTGGATCTCTATTGGCTCCCGTATCAGTCGGTTATGTTATCTCTTGTTGTGTGTAATGAGTTTTCTGTTTTCAAACATTGCTGCTGCTTATAGTGGGTCTCTTTCGTGTTTAGCCAACCTGAGACTTTGTTGTATATTCTTGGTCGGTTTGAAAACCGTTTCAATGTTGTATTTCCCCAAGAGTTTTCCAATTCTGTCTTTTACTCTAGGGATACATGGTAGATAGGCATGTGTAACCATCTGAGCCACCTTCTCGTTTTGAAAGTTTCAGTTTTGAACGGATGAAATCTGGAGAATGAACCTTCAAGGCATTTATTATCAAACGTTTACTAGTGTGAGTTTTCTCATCCTCATTGGAAAAGTTCAAATCAAATTTTGTGCATTTTGTAAATTCCAAAATATCTAGTTTGGAACAAGAAATACCACAAAGAGCCAACCATTTTCCATGCCCTATTCCATTTGACTAGTTTCTGTGGTATAATTTTGAGTTCGAACTCATCAAGAATCAGCTGATAGAATAACGAATAACCTCGAAGTAGAAATGGGTCAATTAAAGCCGGGCCTATGATGAGAAGCGCTTACTGCGCAACCTCTGCTCCAGGCAGCCAGTAATGCAATTGAACCCAGGTTTGTGTTTAATAGACCCTACAAAATACAAATGAAACAGAACTCAGAGTCAGATCCTACAAATGCAATACGCATATATACAGACGGCTCAAAAACCAAAAGAAGGCTCAGGATGTGGAGTGTACTCCAGATCACTCAGATCAGCCGAAGGATCAAGTGAGAAATGAGAAAAAATACCAGCGCGGTAACGTGTAACCTCAGGGCTAGTACTAGAGTGCCACCAAGATTTAGCCAAAGCCTCGGTAGATTATAACATTATACTGAGGTGGGTTAAAGGGCACGACAGGAGTAAAGGTCATCGCATTGTCGACTCTTTAGCCAAGAAAACGGCTGGACTGAGAATTTTAGGACCCAGTGGCCCCTACGAGAAGTAGCCAAATGTTACACCCATGATCAAGCCCAAAAGATATGGGATGGAATCAAATAATGCAATGTTTCCAGGATCACCTTGGGCGACCTTGGGAAGCTGGCGCCGAAGAAATATCTGTCGATGACCAGGAAAAATCGACGCTCAACAGTAGAATTTCTGACCGACCACTGTCAACTAAGGAAACACCTCCATAATATGGGGCTAGTGGACACACTAGACCCATATTATGGAGTGTGTATTCGGCGAGTCTTGGCCTACACCTGCCGATATAAAGGAGATGTCTCCCAGTGATCTATCCACCTTTCTGGAAAGGACAGGATGGACGATGACCTAGGAGGACAACTCCTCGGGAGTATGTACAATATGTCACATGTGGCTATGGGCTTACACTCACCCTCCCTTCTCTACAGATACAGATACAGAACAAGTGCTGAGAATCAAGAAATAATCTATATTCTATTGGATCAAAGGAGATGTCAGTTTCCTTTTTACAGTTTCATAATACTTTCATTCATTGAAGTGAACCCAAAGCAAATGATTAGCTGGCAAAATTCCCATCAAAACCGTGTACACTCACTATCACAGAATATACTTGTATAAAAGTTTTCATATATTCCAACTCAGACTTGACTTGGATCTCTATTTTGCTCTTGTCTTTTATTTTTGGTATCCCAAGAATTAGATTTCATTCTGAATGTAATCTGCTTGAATCTGAACACGGTGTGATAAAATTTTCAATGGGCTTCAAATTCCAAAGTGGATCTTGAGACTTCACGTTCACTGATCTTCCAGTCATGTATGTCTTATAGGTGCCGATATCAATTTTTTTTAAAATTTAGTTAATATATTACATTTTTACTGACAGTTTTCGAAGCATTTCAATTACCGTGATTCAATAAAAATCTGTATAATCCTCTAACGTACGATTTCAGTAGTTTCTTAAGTAACTCAGAGTAACATAAAAATCTTACCGTAGTTAACATGCATGTGTTTTCTTTTATGGCTCCACAGCATCCAAAAGAGGCGGTAATGAATATAACTGCTCCTATAACGATGAGGAGGAGTGGTGGTAAACCCAAGTGGTACTTATCCGGAATGAAATTCTGTATGTCGGTGTTCTTCATCTTGAGCAGCACGCCAATTGCTACTAGTGATGCACCAGAAATCTGCAAAAATTATGTCTATTATGGGAAATCTGTTTTCTTGTACCCCATAGTGGAAGCTGGTTGTTCAAAATATCTTAAATTTTTTTTATAAAAATATAGACTAGTTAATTAGTTTTTTTCAACTTTCACACTTATTTTTGAAAAGTATGAGGCATTTATTTGTCTCCTGAATGTGAAATTGATATTAATAAGGAGAATTTTACTGAGTAATCATGAAAATCTGTTAGCTGAAGAAATGTTTCCTCATTTGGTATAAATGTCAATGTATAATCAAAGAATATCTACATCTTCAGCTTCTCATACTGATATTATCAGTATTATATTTACGTTAACCAACTCAGGAAAATATGAGATCTCGTAGATCTGTACCCGCCCCCCATATTCAAGTAGTCCAAAATAATATCTGACAAAATTCAATAGCATTTCTGGAACTTTCGATTGATCTTTTATTTATTATAGGTGAAATCCATTTTTTTTTCCAGTGTCTTGTCATATCATTCACGTAAGACTTTTTCGACTCTAGGATATTCCAAAATCTCTTCTCAAAAATCTCTGATGGTAGTGTAGAGCCTTCTGTAACTGTTGTTGAAGTTTTTCTTTTTATGAATGATCCCAATATTTTTTTGAGGATTGAATCTAGGAAAGTGTTTCATCAGACTCATGGAGAAACATTCCGTATCTGATGTAGTAATTAACGAATATTTGAACTACTTGTGATGTAATTTGCTATTTACGTAGTGTTGTTGAAGTGTTTCTTTCTGAAGAATACCATTTTTTTTTCAATCAGGGTATTGAATCTACAAAAGTGTTTCGTCAGATTTATGGGCCACTGACATGAAACACACCCTGTATCTGATGTAGTGATTAACGAATATTTGAACTATTTTTTATGTAATTTGATATTCACATNACCCTGTATCTGATGTAGTGATTAACGAATATTTGAACTATTTTTGATGTAATTTGATATTCACATAGTGAATATAATACCAATAATATACCAATATTTTGTTTGTTTTTTCAATCAGAGGATTGAATCTAGAAAAGTGTTCCGTCAGACTCATCGGCCAGTGATATGAAAAAAAAATTCGTATTTGACGTAGTGATTTACGAATATTTGAACTATTTTAATGTAATCTGCTATTTACATAGTGTTGTTGAAATGTTTCTTTTTTGAAAAATACCAATATTTTGGTTTTTATAACCCAGTGCACTGGATCTAGGAAAGTGTTTCGTCAGACTCACGGGCCAGTGACACGAAAAACATTCCATATCTGACGTAGTAATTAACGAATAGTTGAACTATTTTTGATGTAATTTGCTATTCACATAGTGTTGTTGAGATGTTTCTTTTTGAAGAAAACCAATATTTTGGTTTTTTCAATCACAGGATTGAATCTAGGAAAGTGTTTCGTCAGACTCATGGCCAAAGACATGAGAAACATTCCGTATCTGACGTAGTAATTAATGAATATTTGAACTATTTTTGATGTAATTTGCTATTTACATAGTGTTGTTGAGATGTTTCCCTTTAAAGAATACCAATATTTTGGTGTTTTCAATCAGAGGATTGAATCTAGGAAAGTGTTTCGTTTCGTGTTTCGGCCACTGACATGAAAAACACTCCGAATCTGATGTAGTAATCAACAAATATTTGAACAATTTCTTATGTAATTCAATTTTTACATAGTGTTGTTGAGGGATTTCTTTTTTGAAAAATACCAATATTTTGTTTTTTTTTTTCAATCAGAGGATTGAATCTAGGAAATTGTTTCGTCAGACTCATGAAAAACATTCCGAATCTGATGTAGTAATTAATGAATATTTGAACTATTTTTGATTTGATTTGCTATTTACATAGTGATAAAACTCATGAAGGCAATATTTGTTTGTGAACAGTTTCAGAACGTTAATTATGAGTATACTACGTAGATAAGTCTTATCGCCATGCATTTTGAGTCTTTGTATGTTTACTCCTTGAAAAGTTCTGCTATATTTTCTAAACCTTCAATATAGTTTATTCAGGTTCACTCATTTACGCTGACGAGCTGAAACAATGCATATCTGACCTGTAATAAATGAATCGATATTTCCCTGAATTATTAACAGCAAAGCTTTTCTGAAAGCGGGTACTTTTTGGTATTGATTGTTTTATTTCTTGATGTGCTCGATATTTGTAGACTTATAGGTAAGCCACATTTCAGGATAACCACTATCAACGCGAATCATTTCATGACAGAAACGATATTGTGTGCACATGGTCAAAATGTTTTTTTTTTATTGAAAAAGGTATTTTCTGGGAAGAAAAGTTTTGGCCACCTACTTCTCTATTTTATTCATTTCAAATTCGATTGATTTAATTTAATGCAGCAAAGCTCCATCCCAAATGTTCACACACAATTTTCAAACCCCATCAGGGAGTTTGAAGATTCATATCATGCCGAAGTTCCTTGGTGTGTAGGTGGATACGTGTAAAAATTGACTTCCTGTTCACGGAGGAAGTAAAACACAATTCAAATTACTGTTCCTGATGTTAATTATAATTATTGAAGACATTAATATGCATCATTGAGAAGTTGTCGGAAATTGCATTCACTTTGACCATTTTTCCGTTAGCTTTCTCTTTGAAACGCTGGATTTACAGTAGACTCAAAATTCAGTCCCACATATTTATTTTTTCATAATCAACGATAATTTTGTTCAGTTTTCTTTTGATAGTTTTTGTATTGAATGATTCAGAATGTTACTGTAGAAAAGAATAAACAGAGTTGACAGTTGTTTTTATGTCAAATATTTTATGTTCAGTTTTGTTTTAATGTTTTTGTTTTGATTAATCCAAAATTTTACTGTAGAAAAGAATAAGCAGAGTCGACAGCTCTTTTTCTGCCGGACATTTTCAAATTTTGATTTCGATACTTTAATTCAATCAATTTTTTGGAATTTAAGACGAATCCTTGTAGATTCAACGTAGAATTCTTCTCATCTGCATCACCAAAAAAAGTAAACATTTGAGTCTATTTCTCACATCGGTATATCCAATGAATTTGTTTGGGACCTAAACCCCAAGTTTTACCAAAAATCCTTTGACATGTCCATAGAGACAGTCTGGCTTTGTGTAAAACTTTTTCCAAGTGAGCGTTCCAGGTCTGTTTTTTATCAAGGACAATGCCAAGATATTTCACCTCCGTTCCAAATGAAATGACCTCACAATTGAGGGAAAGTGAGGGAAATCCAATTTTCTTGTCCTGGTGAAGAGAATTACACTGTTTTGCTGGGATTGACAGACATCTGCTCCCTCAGGCACCAATTGTGAACACCGTTCAACGTGCTTTGGAGTATATTACAAGCTACCCTACCCGACCTGGACCTTGCCAAGATGACAAGGTCATCTACATAAGCTTGCAGATCTACTTTTCTATCCATCAGGAGCGATCACAGAAGGGGAGATAGTTCCCCACCTTGAGGGCAGCCCCTGGTGACCCTGAACCTAATGGCTTCGCCTTGAAGAGGCGTGTACTGGTATTGATATTTCAAAATATTTCTCGCATATTATGTTGCCGTTCTCCAAAGTATGTTGAGTGATACCGGACATCTCTGGTCCATGGAAGTTATTATGTTGAACTTCTTTCCTTCACCAGGTCATAACAATTCACTTAGTTTGGCCCACATACTTTCTGTCACAATCCTAGCAGCTCATTTCATGAATTTCAGACTATTTCGTCAACTCAACAGTTTTGAAAGAAAAATCATGAACGCTTTTCTGGACCCAAGTGACAAACCAGAGAAAGTGAAATCTCCCTCAAGAAGATGTAAGATATTGGATTGGCAAATCAAACTTCATCAGGCTAAAATCCACACGCAATAATGACTTTTTTTTCATGCATTGGACGCTCTTGTATCTCATGTGGGTCGTCCCAAAGTCGACAATTTTGCTTGTTCACGTACCCATTCCAGAAATGGGACTCATCGCTGAAAATTACTTTGAAATGGAAATGAGTTTCCGTTTCCAACTGCTCCAAAGCCCATTCAGCGAACAAAAGTCGTTGTTTATGGTCGTTTACCGTCAATTCCTGGGTCACTTGAATGTCGGACGGGTGTAGGCCCAAGTCACGACGCAAATTTCGACAAGTTGTGGTCTGTCTCGGATTCTTCTGCACAGACACCGGCGATGTTTTGGACAGTTCAGTGGACTCACATTTATCCACCACATTGTGAATAGTCCTCTCGATAGGACAAATAAAGCGACCGTGAAATGGGTGAAGCGCGCGGTACGTTGCCCTTACAGAACACTCATTTTGATTAAACAATTTCATTATCTGCACTTGTTGCTGAATGTTATATCCGTCCATGGTGATTTGGCAATACAGAGTTAATAAATGACAACTGATTTGACAGATGTATCTTCAGTAAAATGGGCTTTATCTGTTGTCGAAATCCCTGTTGGAAGATCCTTTATCTGTATCTGTATTTGTGGAGTAAGGAGGGTGGGTATAGACCTACAGCACTCAGGCCATATGTGACCCATTGTACATCCTCCCGAGGAGTTGTCCTCCTAGGTCATCGTCCATCCTGTCCTTTACAGGAAGGCAGACAGGTCTGTGGAAGACATCTCCTTCATTTAGGCAGGTGTAGGCCAAGACTCGCCAAACATAAACTCTCTTTGGCAACCTTTGAGGTGTCTCGCGGTGGCCTCCGCGAAGGTTTTGGAAAGTGCAGCGACATTACCTTCGTTTGGCGGCTTCTTCAACAAGTGAGGGAGCTTTCCTGCAGGGGCTGCCAGTTCCTTGTCTTTATTCAAGGCGGAGCTTTTGGCGCTTGCCGCGGGAAGTGCCCTTGCTGTTGGAGGTGGGGTGGGGAAGAGGAGGGTGCACTTATAGTTGCTGCCACCGCTGCGTCTTTCGCTCCCTTTCTCTTTTTGGCTCAGGCGCCGCAAATGCGCTCACGCCTTGGCCTTTGTATTACATCACGAGGTGATCTGCTATATCCAGTCCCATTCCAAGCGGTAGATTGGGGTGGACATTTCTGTTCATCCCCAGCCACCGCCTTAGATTGAGGTGAGCACTTCTGTCCCGCCTCGGGTTTAGTTTTTGTTTTTGTTGTTTCTAGTTTTGTGTTTGTTCCATTCCTGTGTGTTCCCACGAGTAGCAAGGGAAGAGTTGGTCACCTCTGGCAGAGCCCCGCATTACCAGAGGTAGCCTGATTACAATGAGGTTCCGCCCAGTTCTCCAAGGGGATCATTCGTGACCGCATATCATCGTGCGACCATTCAGCTGTCGGCACCTTTCCTTACACCTTAGCTTGGGTAGGCTGGTCCACGGTGACATGTTTTTCAGAGGCTTTTGGGGGGTTTTAGTTCCACTCACCCTACTTATTTTCGCCACTGACCAAGAGTCCGGCGACCTCGTCCGTAAGGCCACATTGGCTTCCCGGACAGGGCTTCCAGTCCCCTGGCCGTTCCCCTATCAGCAACCTATATCCGCAACCCACGGGGAAAGATACTTTGATTAAATCCAGCAATGCCTTTCTGATTCAGCCTGGTACCATTATCAAATCTCATTGTGATGAGGTGATGATTTCGTTTTTTGGGCTATGGTTTCTTGTGATATATGAAAAAATCAATCTGAATTGATGATCTTGCTCTAATTTAATCCATTCATCGTCACCTGAGTCTCCCTCAGTTTCATGAAAAAGTTTCAATACGAATTTGGTTGAAACCGTTTAGAAATTTGCATAACGATCTCACTACCGTTTTAATCAATCATTAGTTGTTTTAATAGGATAATTATTCAATTTGGATCGTGTTTTAATTGGCATCAATAAGGTAGATGTTCAATTAGCAGTTTACAGGATAGTTTACTTAGTAGATGTAGGTTGACTACAAATATATACAGGGTTTTTTGGAATTGTAATGAGCATCAGTATTATTTTTACGTTTAAACAATGTTTGTGTGACGTGGTTTGCGACGATCGACACAGGTGTATTTTATCTGAGGGGGACTACTTTGGAGGGAACAAAATTGAAATTGATGAATAAATTAGAATTTTTTGACAAAAAGGAAAATTTGCCGTATTTTTCGAACAGAATTATTTTTCCAATTGATTTATTCGATTCGATTTGCCACGGACTAATCAGATTCTCCAAAAGTTCACATCACACAGTTGATAGAATTTCCTGCTGATTAAGATTTATGTATTTTTCAGTTTGTGGATTGTTGAAGTAACATTTAGAAACTGTTCCTCTCTCTTGTGAAAATTCAAGTGGAATTTTCTGTATGTATTCATATAATTCATATATCCAATCTTCGAACAACACCCAATAGAAATTCTTGGAATAACAATTTCTTCTATTTTCTCAAAAACTACACCTCACGATTTCCACAAACTTAATTTGAAAAATATATCACATATTTCGCTAGCACAGTAGCTTTGTCAAGTGATTTGAATACTTCAAACCATAATTGAGACTACCTCCAAAAAATTACATAAATTTCTATCTAAGGGACCTGTTCAATTATGATTACCTGAAGCATATTACCTCACATCTAAATCAATAATATTTCTTCCTCGGTTTTTAGGAAAACAAGTTCATTTATGGTAATCTATTCAAATCTAGTTGGACATTCATTAAAATGTTTGAATTTTCAAGTTTATTATTTACATTGCTTCCAAATGATTCAGTTTCAAACCTTTATTTTCTATGTGCAAAATTTCGAACTATTCGTTAGAGATATGATTTTCTTATAAAAAATTAATTGAATATGTTGTTTTCCTATTTACATAGCTCGTATGATGTTCTTGGATTCGATTCCTGAATGTTCTGCCCGTTCGACCAATATATACCTTAGGGCACGTTCCACACTTTAATTCATATACTCCTGATTTCTCGATATTTTGTCTTCATCATTTTCAACTAACGTTCCCAGCGTAATACTTGTTCTGTATGCAATTTTAATATGTTGCCAAAACAAACTATCGGAAAACTTCCGGCAACATGAAAGTGAAGAGAAAAACATAAACAGGATGAACCAGCATATAAATAGCCCAGTTTATACTCACGGCAAATATAACATTGAAGAAAAACACCAAATATTTAACCACGGTTGTTGAGCAGCCCATTTTGGGGGATTCCTGCAGCTTACTTTTACTGCTGTATCCGATGATCCACGCAAAAACAAAGGAAGGATCTGTTGAATGTAATCAAAACAAACCACCAGGCACAGCACACCGCGATATCTAGCTTCGTAGTAATCAAGAACTAAATCATTCATAAAACGCGACTTCGAGTTTTTCAGAGGTTGCCAGATTTCATGAATTTTACCCAGACTTACATAAATTGAATTTGGGACACCCCAGAGCGAAAATAATGTCTTCTGACGCGTGTTTTTGCGCCAATCAAGCTAGCATCAGATGATGACTCTGGATGACAAATAAACGAAATTGTACTCAGGCTGTTAGAAGCGAGTTTCAACAGATTTTGAGTAGTTCGGACATTGAAAATAACCGTGAAATTGACGATTCGCGTCAGAAAATGAAGTAAACCAAATATTTCGTACGAAGGACTAAGATACCGGTTTCAGGTTAGTTGAGGATAGTCAAACAACATGACTCCTTCTTTTTTACAAAAAGCAGACAATTATAATTGTTTGTGGATGGTAGCGTTGAAATTTTTCTTTCACCAAAAATGGGTCTACAGGAATCTGATGTTAATCCCTTCTCCTCACAAAAGAACATTGTAACACAGTACTAAATAAACCACCGCATAGTAAATGTGTTGATCATCGTAAATTTACGACTTATTGTGTTCAGTTTCGACCGTAGTTCCGCAGGACTATCAGCTCCTTCTGAGACTGCAGTATCATCGGCAAAAAGTGATATTGATTGTGTACCTAGATGTTGAAGTGAATCATTGATATAAATCAGAAAAATCAGTGGTCCCAAAACTGTGCCCTGTGGAACTCCAATGTCTACGTTGAATGTAACAGAGTTCGTATCATTCCATGTCACATATAATTTCCTGAACTTTATATATGATATTACTCATGCAAGAAATACCCCTCAAATATCTATTGCATATAATTTGTTTGATAAACTGTTATATAACCAAAATAATTGATCATTTCTGCATATTACCTTGAATTAATGTATTTTGGATCATTTGTAGCCTCTATTTCTAGATATTCACTTATTATATGTTTGTAATGACACGGAAATGAAATATTCAGTTTCTAAAGTTTAGAATGCATCAGGACAGATGAAGATTTTTCATCAAGTAAAATAGTACGTATTCTCATAGATTCGAAAAAATCCGGGATATGTGATATACTTACGAAGTAACTGTTTTACTATTTATTTGAATCCTGAAAAAAATATGTAACATCCCAAAACAAAAGTCTTCAAGAGGAATGTAGGTCATGAATACATCATAAAGAAGTCATTTCATTGAGGATCAAAATAATTGGTGATTATTCACATTACTGAAATGATATCTTTAAGTTTGACCCGAAACCACGTCATTTTGCAATAATAATAACAACATTCATCTAGTAGTATTTGTTGATTTCCATTCAATCATAAATAAATTAGTATATTTGAAAAAAAAGACGTATCCATGATGTTCAATATACCACTGAATACTTCAGTCAACACAAAAACGTATATATGATATCTCAAAATGAACGTCATCAAGATAATGAGCATCTATTTACTGATATTATGAATGTGGAAGTTTGAGAGGATGTATGTATGTATGTTTGAGGATTTTTTGCGCCTGAACGACAGAACGGATTTGGATGAAAATTTATATAAAAACAGCTTACACATCAAAATAACAGAGGCTACAATTCACGAAGGTTTTGTTTATTTTTGATCATAATATAACGATAAGTAATAAGTAAGATTGTTTATCCTAAATAGTTCTAAAAGAAAGTCCGCGATAGCGTATATCTACCTCTTATGTGGTATCCACTATATGCAGAATACTGAGCCATAAATACAATTGAATTGGATACTTTCCTGATAATGCACATTTTGGAATATCTGTCAAATTTTCATAAAAATTTATACAATTGTCCTTTTAAGTATTTAACATAGATAAACTTTGTCTTCAACACAAAGTAATTTGGACGAATCGTTTGGAAATTATCACGAAAAGATTAATTCGACGCAACGCAGTAAGCCATTACGCATCGCGTCTACTGTAAGAACACGGGGAGACAATGCGCGGAGGTGGAGGAGCGGTCTAAGCACTGAAGCGAGAACGCGACCCGAACGCGGGCAGACGCGTGAGGGCAAACTTCGATGACGGTTGTGTTAGTTTTGCAAATTTCCTTATAGGTAACATATTCGATTCTTGCAGCTATTCATTACTCAGTGCAGTTGGCATATTCTTTCAGTTTCTGTATTTTTCAAGAAAAATATCAATGACTAGCTGTTGCTCTCTCTCATATTAACGAACAGTCGAAGCTACTGAACCTGAAATCTTGAAATATGCAGATAGGTTCTTTGTATAGCGTTAATGAGTATCAAGAAAGGGAATCAGGAATTTCCACCCAGGGGGCAAAAGCTAGTTTAAACATAATTCTTTGATTTCATCATGAACGTAACTGTTTGACACTATTCTACCAAATTTTGAGTGGTATCTAGGAAAGCGTACAAGCATGTCGAAGCATGTCGAACCCGATTTTATAGATTGAAGACATATCCTCGGCTTATTTACTTTTTTACTGTTCAAGAAAGCAATGATTAAGACTTGGCAACATCGCTTTCACGACACAAACCAAGTTTGTGTTCAGTCAAGTCGCTAGGAAACTACCTGGCAGGTATTTATCAAACTATAAATAAATAATTGTCAGATCATATCATGGATCGGTCACAGCAATAATGTTTTCCTTTTACAATTGTCGCAGGAATTGCGCTGGGAACTTTGTCATAGGAGGCGGACAGGATATTGCGTTGATGTTACTTTGCTCATCGATGAATTTACGAATAGTTTTCAAGTTAGCATAAGATAAATCAAATTTTGATATTTTCCAAGTAAAACTTCTTCACGCGCGCTTGGGCTGGGGAGTGAGCTGGTGAATGTCTGACGAGAGCGTTACAAAAAGTGTGATCTGACGAGACAATTGAAAAGATTTTTTTTGATTACTTANAGTACTTGACATTTAAAAAAAATTATTGAAATCGATTTACAACTTCAAATTTTAGGAAGGGGTGTTTTCATTAAAAATGGGTCACACTGTATCTATAAGTTTATGAGTTGCTGATATATGTTTATGTGACTAAATATGACAGCTGTGGCTGAATAGTCTTGGTAATCGATGCCGCATAAAAAAACAATTACAAATGTAAAATATATTTATACCACTCTCACAAGTTGAAATTCTGTCTAAAATTAAATTCTTCACTGCAGATAGGCATTGTGTAATGTACTTCATATTCAGTTTCTAATATCGAGTGAATACTTGTCTTTGATCAACATCAACCTGAAAAAAAAAATCAAATTAAACACTTGCAATGCACACTTGAAATATAAACTGCACACAAAGTATACTTTCCACTGAAATGAATATGTATATCTATCTTGTGATAAAAAAAAGCTTTCGAAGGATTCGTTCTATCCCAAAAGTACAACTGCTACTTAGAAATTATATCCTTACCTAATATCTAAATCTTCTCTCTCTATTCCTGATACTGCTGGACAGACAGAGAGAAAATATTGAACCGATCACCTGAAAAAATAAATTCAGCAATGAGTTATTTTTCCTCAGAATTGTCAGTGATGGAAAACTAATGACCTGGGATACATTCTATGGTTGCTTCAAAAGTTTTGACTCTTTCAATGTCATGTGTTTTGTAGCTCCATATCGCCATAAATATTCATTCTACCGTGTCATGGTGTATAGGGATTGATAGAGAATTTTGTTCTCCATACATTTAACAATACACTACCACCTGAGTCTATAGGATCATCCCTGGCTGGAGAAGCCATTGAATCGACCATAACTGGCTGGATTGGTGTCATGGTGGTAAATATAACTGCAACATCAACTCTTCAAGACGAAGCAATTAAGTTTGGGGTTACAAGAGGCTGCTCTCAAGGTGGGGTACTGTATCCTCTTCTGTAGTCGCTCCTGATGGACAGTCTGCTTGATGCGCTCGATAGAAGAGAAGTAGATCTGCAAGCTTATGAAGATGACCTTGTCATTTTTGCAAGGTCCGCATCAGAAAGGATAGCTTGCGATATTCTCCAAAGTACGATGAACGTCTTTCACAGTTGGTGTCAGAGGGAGCAAATGTCTGTCAACTCCAGCAAAACTGTAGTCATCCCCTTCACCAGGAGAAGGAAAATGTGACGATTCAGCTCCACTTCACTTCAGTGGTGGGGTCATTCCACTTAGAACGCTGATGTAATATTTTTGCATCGTTCTTGATGAAAAACTCACCTGGAACGCTCACTTGAAAACAGTTTTACAGCGAGCCAGACTGTCCCTATGGACATGTGGGTATAGGTCCCAAACGAATCCAGATCTACCTCCTCTCCATATTTTTTCTGGAGAGAGGGGCTACATGGACTGCATATGGACTTGTGCATATCGTCAATTGCACAAATCAATCTATTGCAGAGTATATTAGACTGGTGATTGACCATGAAAGTCACAGCATTCTGGAAATGACCCTTGAGCTCATACACAAATCAATACAAATACTCTCGGACAGTCAAGCAGCATTGAATATGTGCACGGACCATATGACACCGAAGTTCACCTTCAACACAAACTTCACGGCCAAAATCATAAGCCGTGAATAGTGGATGACCATTAGTCATTCCGAAAACATGTTTGGAAAAAACACCTGGTATACAGATGGATCGAAGACCAAACATGGAACGGGAGCTGGAATAAACCGAGCGGATAGAAATCTAAACTTTCAGGAGGGAGTGTATGCTATCTTGCAGTGTGCAAAGCTTATTGAATTGAAACCTTAAAGGAATGAGCGGATCAATATTTTTACAGACAGCAAGAGTACACTAGTGGCTCTGTCAAACCCGAAGGTGACATCAAAACTTGCAAACAGAAACAAATTAACTCTGGTACGAAACCAGATTAGGACATGGACCAATAAGAAGCACACAGAGTACCTACCAGATAAAAGTACCTGGCAACAAATACAGTAGAACATTCATTGGGGAACCGTCCGAGAAAAAAACCGAATAACTATTCCAATATAGTAGGGATCGACTCAGAATAATTACAGAGTTACTACCCGGTCATTGTCCGCTTAGAGGACACCTGAATGAAATGGAGCTGTACAACGGAGACCTCAGCTGCAGATTATTCAACGAAGGGATAGAAACAGCTCTACACATCTTATGCGAATGTGAGGCACTGAATCACAGGAGGCAGGCAATATATGGACGTACAAAATTACGCCCAGATTTTTTGCTTTTAAATTTGCATTAGACATATTACCCTCTAATTAATATTTTGTATTCCTCTGTATGACTTATATGTGGATTCCACGTATATCTCGACTCATTCTGTCTTGAAACTTCTCTACATACAACGTGCTCTATTATATCTATTTGCACTGGACTAGGACGACTCTAAATATATATTTTATATGTTCTATGGTCAGCCTTCCTACTTCATTTCAATCTTTCACATTAGTGAGTAGTTTATCTACTCGTATTTCTATTGCTTCATTATCAAGAAGCCATGGCATACAGTTTCCAAGGTACCATTGAATTCTTGATGTACTCACCTCCAACGAAGATAGTGCCAGGACTGTAATTCCGATCACTTCGACGGAATCAGTTAAATAGTCGATGAACTCGTCAATACACCCATTTTTGTAAAGGTGTTTGGGACTTATTTTTCCGTCCTCATAGCAGCTGTCAGGAATTGAAGTGTTCCAGAAGTTTGGGCCTTCAGTTCCACAACACTCCAACTGAAAAGGAAATTATAATTCAAAAACAATACATAAGATGTAATAACAGAGAAACAAAAATTCTGGTTTTCTGCTTCTCCATCTTTATAAAAAATAATGAGGAATCTTCCAAAAAAACTAGAGCAGCAATGTCAATATTATGGGAGGAATAAAATTATTTCGGAATGAAAAATATTACCTCCTGTTGCATGAAATCCACAATCTCGTTCGTCTTGCCGGAAGTACTGTTGTATTTGTTGAAAATCTTATTCATGACTCCAGTGATTTTATTCGAAAGAGCATCCTCATCTTTGATTTCTAAGAAGGCGTATACACCAACAGCAATTTGAAGTAGAAACAGGGTCATCAAAATAATGGAGTACTGAAATCAAAATGAATATTTTACACACAATACTTGATATGAGGGTAGTTACATTGGAAAATGGTGGACAGAAATATGGTTAACAGATATTTCAAGGGTCACTTGTAATGATCATTTGTAATAGACAGGGTGATAATCAAATCATTGGATCTATACAGGGTGTAACTGAATAAGTGTAAAACATTTAAGGAGGTGATTCCTCATCATTATTTAGTTACACCCTGTATAAACTGATGAAATGTTATCTAGAAAGAAGAAAGCAATGCGTAAAAATTGATGGCCGACTCAGCCATTTTGAAACTGTGGAAGTTGGAGTCCCACAAGGTACAGTACTGGGCCCCATTTTATTCAACATATACCTAAATGATTTGAAAAATTAACTGAAACCAATATCGCTACTGATGAAATGATTGGAAATATATACCGGTTTAATCGGAATGAACCCAAGTGGAAAATTTTGAATAGAATCCTGTATATTTTTCAGACCATTCAATAAATTATAACATTCTCTCTCCAACTAAGCAAACTTTTTTTCCACTATATCGAGTTGTTTGGCAATGTTTCTATAGATGACTTCATAATGACGTCATATTGGAATTGGAGGAAATAGTAAAGTTATTTGATAAACATAGAATCAGTTAAAAACTATTACTGGAGTTTTTTCTCAACACCACAGCTTCATTCAAACACCTTCAAGAGGTTAGATTAGGTTAGGTCCGAAGTAAGTGGGTCTACTCGACCCTCCACCGCAACACGCGAGGGTTTATTGTGGTTCACGCCAATTCACACTCAACCAAATAAACCCAGCTTCTTAACGAAGCCAATTAGTTTGTATGGTCGTGGCTACGTGAAAACAGGCATCCGATGGCCGGTTTGCTCAACCCCCAAGATCTTCAAGAGGAATATCAGTTTGATCTTTCTCTTGAAAATGATCACTTGGTGATCGAAACACGTGTCGAGGTGTTGAAATAACGGTTTGGTTATTTCAACATAAATCAATTGCAATGAAACTTTTTCTTAGGATTACTTACCGTCGTCAGCAAGCAAGGACTCTCTCTTATAGCCCCACAGCAACCAAAGAAGGCTATAACGAAGATGATGACTCCAACGACAATGGTAAGTACTGGAACAAGCTTTATATTTTGTTCTTCCGCTGGTATCAATTCTGTGAATTGCTGAATATTCAGTTTATAAACAACACCAACGACGATGAGGATCAATCCACCAAGCTGAAAGGAAAATATCAGGAATTAAAATAACTGAGTGGATGAAAATCAATAACGAGTACTGGTTTTCTCCAAAATCGTTCAACTTACAGTGAATGTCTGCCAACAAAACAACTACTTGCCCGGCTATTACCACGATTGGCATTGACAAAAGGTGGAAGCAACTATGTTACTGAGGAAGATATTGAAACAAAAAATTTAATGACGATGAAAAACTATCGATAAGAGAAGATCTTCTCCACACATGATGAAAACAAATACTTCGAAGTTGAAGGCTTCTATGAAGTGATACAAAAATTCAAAGGGATGAAGTAAAGAAAGCGGATATTCGAACACAGAAATTGTTTGTTAGATTAGACAATATAGACGAAATGGACCATTAAAAAAAGAAGAAATTGAACGAGTTTGATTGAAACATCGAAGTACATCTACATTATAATTGATTATGGGGTACTTACTGCAAATGTGAAGTTAGCTCCCGATAGAAAAAACTTGAGACACGAATTTCCGAACGCCATTTTGATAAAAGGTAATTGCAGCAAATCACAGCTATCGAATCTGATTATGAAACAGAACTGTTATCAGTATAAACTTTATCTGCTTTAGTAACAATCGATAAGAGGAATCACGAGATTATTAAAAATATTTTACGATGTTTCAATGGACATAAAATTGATTGTACTTCAGAAATTGTGAATATCAATAAAAAAATACATCGGCCCATCGAAAGCGAGAGTGTAACAATATACTTCGATAATAATCAACAGAAAACAAGCAGTGGTCCTATATCATCCATAGGAAAAAAAATAGTTCAAGGGGAAGTTCAAAGAAGTTGCATATATGTTGTTCAGCGACGCATTTAGCTAAGCTAGCGTAGAGATACGCAACATATGGAAACCTGTAATCAAGGAAGAGGGGATAAGTAACAGTATTTCAATGGCCTGTGAATATTCATCTCTTGGAGAAATAGTCCAGGCATCACCCGAACAATCAAAACGTCGTGAAGTAACTCGGTTTGAAACCTAGCACCGCTAGGTGATGAGACTGAGGCTGAGACAAAAAATGTTATTGATAAATACACATATAATGTATATGCTAATGTTTTTAATGCACTTTTCAATAACGGATGATCCAACAGAAATATTCATTTTCACTGTTGATAATAAAGTTCGTTTCTACATCAGTTAAAAAAAAATCCGTTTTAAAATCTGTTTCTCCGTTAATCAGCTGTCGCCCCCATACGAAAGACAACTCTCAGAAAACAAAGGTCCTATTGAATGGCCACCACGTTCATCTGATCTGGCCCTGCTGAACTTCTTATTGTGTGGTTCCATTGGAGACAAAGCAATGTTAACGAATTGAAAGAAACAATAAGGAGGGCTTGCATGGCTATAACTCCACAAATTCTGGAAAATGGCCATAAAAATGCTATTGCAAGAGCGAATATGTATTTGATGAACGACGGAAGGCAATTTGAACATTTGACGAGATTTTGTTAACGTCGTAATTGGTTGGAACCCAAAAAATGTTGGTCTCTACTTCTTTGAGGAAGCTCTGACCAGGATTGTAAAACCATACACTGATGATGGAAGAAACGTCTGAAAACACGTGTATTATAATACATAATTGAATTTGGTCTGAAAACAAGCCAAAAGGTTTGATCATCGACTCAAGACTCTCACAAAACCGGCATATAAATGGCTGATACATCATCAACGATTTCAGAAGATTAATTTTCAAAATCCAGATGATAGGCGAACCTTTGTTTGGATTGCGTATGTCTACTCATCCTTAGATCATATTTTGAGGTATCTTGTTGAAATCAGCTGTACATTGACTAATTCATACTAATATGATTAATACATATGTACATATTCACCTGATTATACTAGATTTGATTTATCATTCCCCTCCTCATTTTTGGCATCGTTATAAATATCTCTGTTTACTTTGTTACACATTTGTGTCCACATTCTGTGGATCCAGACTGTGACAGGATCGATGGTAGAGCAGTGAGTTTGCAGCCAAGGAATTTGCTTAATCAAAGCAATTACTTTTACATCAACTCGGTTTTGCAAGCACTTATCGCATATCCACCACCCTACAACATCTCGTCGAAAGAGACACGGAAATCTACCCCGGTTATAGCTGGAATGTATGTTTTGTGGGGCAGTTTGATTACTCGACTTTCTACATAGGACCAAAGACAGGAGAATGGATAAACATACCAAGAATAACCAAGCAGATATCATCAACACTGGCATTCCATTCGGTCCAACGGACTGGATCAAGGGAAGACAACAAGATCCTCATGAATAAACTAAATGATGGAATGTTTGAGCTAATGAAGTATGTTCAGCGACGCATTTAGCTAAGCTAGCGTAGAGATACGCAACATATGGAAACCTGTAATCAAGGAAGAGGGGATAAGTAACAGTATTTCAATGTCCTGTGAATATTCATCTCTCGGAGAAATAGTTCAGGCATCACCCGAACAATCAAAACGTCGTGAAGTAACTTGGTTTGAAACCTACCACCGCTTGGTGCTGAGACTGAGACAAAAAATGTTAACGATAAATACACATATGATGTATATGCTAATGTCTTTAATGCACTTTTCAATAATGGATGATCCAACAGAAATATTCATTTTCACTGTTGACAATAAAGTTCGTTCCTACATCAATTGAAAAAATCCGTTTTAAACTCTGTTTCTCCGTTAATCAGCTGTTGCCCCCATACGAAAGACAACTCTCAGAAGTTGATGAACTTGTGCGAGCTAAGAACTAACGAGGTCTTACCTTTCAACGTGTGATTCCTAACATGGAGCTACAAACTTCCAAGAGAGATTTGGAGTTGATGTTTGGCTTGGAGGTCCTAACAACGCCAAACATCCCTACTTTTTGAGACGTCTTTGACGGGAAATTATGTCTGGAATTCTTATCGGAGACTCTAGTTAGGTTTTTGGAAGATTTGCCTTCAAATATTCTAAAAAATTTCACTATTTCCAATATGATGGACCTTAGCCACATTGCACAACTATTTGCAGGGATTTCCTCAATACGACTATGTCAGGACGAGAAAACAAAGGTCCTATTGAATGGCCACCACGTTTACCTGATCTGACCCTGCTGAACTTCTTATTGTGTGGTTCCATTGTAGACAAAGCAATGTTAACGAATTGAAAGGAACAATAAGGAGGGCTTGCATGGCTATAACTCCACAAATTCTGGAAAATGGCCATTAAAATGCTATTGCAAGAGCGAATATGTATTTGATGAACGACGGAAGGCAATTTGAACATTTGACGGGATTTTGTTAACGTCGTAATTGGTTGGAACCCAAAAAATATTGGTCTCTACTTCTTTGAGGAAGCTCTGACCAGGAATTGTAAAACCATACACTGATGATGGAAGAAACGTCTGTAAATACGTGTACATAGTTGAATTTGGTCTGAAAACAGGCCAAAAGGTTTGATCATCGACTCAAGACTCTCACAAAACCGGCATATAAATAGCTGATACATCATCAACGAATTCAGAAGATTAATTTTCAAAATCCAGATGTTAGGCGAACCTTTGTTTGAATTGCGTATGTCTACTCATCCTTAGATCATATTTTGAGGTATCTTGTTAAAATCAGCTGTACATTGACTAATTCATACTAATATGATTAATACATATGTACATATTCACCTGATTATACTAGATTTGATTTATCATTCACCTCCTCTTTTTTGACATCGTTATAAATATCTCTGTTTATTTAGTTCATTACTAACAGTCGAAAAACATTCTGGATGCTAAAAATGTTTGCTATTTGAAGGATTCTGTCGCAAAATCATAGTCAAGTTTTCAAATCCGACAACGACGATGTTTCGTCTGAACCCATCAACAGCTTCAACGAAATCGCTTTTGATCAGGCCGCCGAAAACGAGTACAACAGCAATCTGCCCAAATGCCCCTTCAAACACTCCAGAAGGTCCGACTGGTCTGTGGATCCAGTCTGTGACAGGATCGATGGTAGAGCAGTGAGTTTGCAGCCAAGGAATTTGCTTAATCAAAGCAATTACTCTTACATCAACTCGGTTTTGCAAGTCCTGATCGCATAACCACCACCCTACAACATACCGAACTGACTGAGCATAAACATCTCGTCGAAAGAGACACGGAAATCTACCCCGGTTATAGCTGGAATGTATGTTTTGTGGGGCAGTTTGATTACTCGACTTCCTACATAGGACCAAAGACAGGAGAGTGGATAAACATACCAAGAATGACCAAGCAGTTATCATCAATACTGGCATTCCATTCGGTCCAACGGACTGGATCAAGGGAAGACAACAAGATCCTCTTCAATAAACTCAATGATGGAATGTTTGAGCTAATGAAGTTGGTTGAATGTGGCATTGAAGATGAAAGACCTCCCGTTGACTCTGCTTTGGGCAGTGACTCAAATGATGAATGGTAAGTGATGGCATAAGAAAATAAAGGAAATCCAACCAGAAGGATCAACTTCACCAGTACACCGATGGGCGAATTCTTTGGGGGTCTGACCCCTCTGGACCTGTACTTTAAGAAGGTTGCATTAATGGCCATGTTACGATTGCGCACGACTGGTGTAAACCTCGAAGTAGGAATGAGTCGATTGAGGCTGAGCCTATGACGAGAAGGGCTTACTGCGCAACGTCTGCTGCAGATAACCAGTGATGCAATTGAACCCAGGTTTGTGTTTAATAAACCCTACAAAATACAAATGAAACAGAACACTGAGTTAGATGCTACAAATACAGTACGCATATATACAGACGGCTCAAAAACCAAAGAAGGCTCAGGATGTGGAGTGTACTCCAGATCATCAAGCCTACGAATTGAGTGGAGAATGGAAATACCAACGTGGTTCATACAGAACTGGCTGGTATCGCAATCGCCACAAAAGAAATAACCAGGAAAGGAATTTCTGGCAAAAACAACAATCTGCATAGTAGACAAGCCCTATTGGCCTTGAACAGACAGCGTGTTACTTCAGGGCTGGTACTAGAGTGCCACCAAGATTTAGCCAAAGCTTTGGTAGATAATAACATTATCCTGAGGTGGGTTAAATGACAAGACAGGAATAAAAGTAATCGCATTGCCAAATCTTTAGCCAGGAAAGCGGCTGGACTAAGAATTTCAGGACCACGTGACACAGATGGCCTGATGACTTCGACAATTGCAGAACTAGCCAAACGTCACACACATGCTCAATCCCTAACGAGATGGGATGGAATCAAAGGATGCAGACTTGCCAGGATCACCCTGGGCGACCCTGGAAAGCTGGCGCCGAAGAAAAATCTGGCCATGGCCAAGGGAAACCTACGCTCAACAGTAGGATTTCTAACCAGCCACAGTCAACTAAGAAAACACCTCCATAATATGGGGCTAGTGGAAACATCTCTATGCAGGATGTGTGAACAGAAAGATGAAACTGTCAAGCATGTCTCATGTGAGTGTTCGGCGAGTCTTGGCCTACACCTGTTGATATAAAGGAGATGTCTCCTAGTGACCTGTCCACCTTCCCGGAAAGCGCAGGATGGACGATAACCTAGGACAACTCTTCGGGAGGATTCGCAATGGGTCACATGTGGCCTAAGTGCTGTTGGCCTACACTCACCCTCACTACTCTAGAGATACAGAATCTTTGGTGGCACTGAAGTCAAGCATCATCGTACCGGACAGAATGTCTTCCACTTCACTGACTGTTTTTAATAAGCAGCATAAGGATACGGCAATGATAAACCTGTCGTCCCTTTTCATGCGTTTAAAACAGCATTCATGTTCTGGTGAGAAAAAGTGCCTTCGATAGATACTGACGTAGCATCAATTCCCATTTACTCAAGGAAACACGTACATAGCTACTGTTAGACAATATATTCTGCTTCCAATCGATGCTCTTCGAAACGTTTTTCCATCTCGTAATACTTTAAAAATTGTGTTCCACTGAAAAAATGGAATTAACTCCTGAACATTTTCGTAAGGTTTATTACGACAGAAGGGTAACAATTGACTTCGACACTTGGCGATGAAAACCTCCCATTTGCATCTGAGAAACGCTGGTATAACAAGTTCAATCGTGGCTTTTATTGACTCAGCAATGAAAACCGTGAAGGTTGTCCAAAATCACCTGAGGATGTCAGTTTGAGGCATCCTTAGACATTAGTTTCACTAGCAGGTGTAATACTACATGATCATATAACTTTGAAAAAGGTTTGTTTTCGTTAGATCCCTCACGATTTGGCTAGAGATCTGGTCATGTGACAACAGTACCCCTGGAGAAACCACCTATTCTAAATTGTAAAAAAACTATGGTATAAGGAAAACTAACAAGCACTTCTGGGTCATTCTCCATGAAAACAATGTGAACTCATCTAAAAACCGACTGGAAGCTATTGCCGCATTCAAAAAGCAAGTTGAACTGTCTCTATCTCAAACGGTGTGGAAATTATCTCCCAAACTGTAGAAACTGTGAATCAGGATCTGCTGCCGAAAGCAAAATCGAGGTTAGGTATATTCGATTGTGACCGACAGTGTGCGTATCAATTTCTTCGTCAACTACTGTTTACGGATGAATCAAACTTTCAACTACGTAATCTTATCTAACTCGGGAAATTCCAATGAGTCTGGTTAAAATAGAATGTAGGAATGATGTGTAATAGTTTTCTATGATCAGAAAAAGTGCTAACTATAGAAACTCTCTAGAAACTGTTTCACTTATTTCGACATATATCCTGATAATACTTCAAAACTCTTTAATACTTCCGTCTTCTAACCTCTCATCAACCATCAACGGTGATATCAACTTGATGCTCAATATTTGGGCCAATCATATATTATATTCAGTTGGAAAACACCTTGCATTTATGATGAAATGTATACTTACTGCAAAAATAAGATTCGCACCGAAAACCAGGAACCTAACCAAACCTTCTGCACAACCCATCTTGGAACTCTGTTGATAACTCTGCTAGAGAAAACTGAAATATAAATCGATCTGCTCTTATCTTGTCCAAATGAAGCATCGAGATAAAAATATTTGCTCAAGGATAATAACAGTACCTGCGTTATAGACATGCATGAAAATTTCACGAAAACCAAGCGGGTGTGACAAATTGTTTAAATGAAAAATATACGAGGAATCACAATAGCTGATATACTGGGTGTCCGAAATAACTCAGTACAGAACCCTGTATCGATAAGTAGCTCATTCTGAGCTTGAGGAAGCAAACAGCAAACATTTCTGTATAGTTCAAGTGAAAAATATAGTGCAACCTACCTTCCAGCAGCCCCCCTTCAATAATATAGTTAGGGAGCTAACTAATTTTGTTATTAAATAATCTTTTCCAATCCTTTTCTGCCAGTCCTCTTAGGTAATATTGAATACTTTTCCTTTAATTATCTCTACTACTCTATTATCAAATTTTTTTGCAGGCATGTTAGGCGTACATATATTCGAACCATCAGTCCACCCTTTCGTAACTGTGTCGTGAGTGTCATACCAAGTTTAGTCCAAATAGAAAATTTTCCGTTGTTCTTGTCTATATTCAGTTAATTTGTTCTAAGTATTTGTTACGCAATTCCACTATTCTTCTGCTTTCCATAACTGCTTGACGTTTGTTTATTATTATGAATATAAATCCCAGGTTCTTTATCCGATTCTGAAGAGCTTTGTCACAGCAGCTCACGTTATGGCCGGAAGTATTCAATTTCTTCCTTATGATTTCAGTTGTAGGATCTCATTGCTTTTGTAACAGTCGAATATTGTTTTTTTCAATGATTTTATCGAATGAACATCTAAAGGTTGTGGTATTCCTGTATCACATCGCGTCTTGCGTTCATAAGGTGGTTTCTTTTTGACTATTTCACGTACAGTTGAGAAAGGAACTTTGGTCAAATTTTATGTTGCTTGTAACAGTTTTTTTTCCTCAAAACCATATATATGGTATGTGAAACATTCTCTCTGTGTTTCAATATTCAAATGCTTCCTAATCTTATTCACTGGTATCTCTCTTTCACATTGTTCACCATCGCTATTGGAATCACTATACGTCTGCGTTGTTATCACACTCGTTATTACTATTAGTACTTGTCCAAGAACGCCACATTTCAAACAGATAACATAAATTTCAAGTAATTATAACTGCACCAATATCGAATTTCAACATTCAAAACGCGGTCAGTTCCTGAACTGAACATTGATAACACGACGGCGATAACCATCCCCGCATTCCCTGATTTCTATTCATCACCGTAACATGACTTCAAATTTAATTTTATGACTCTTCAGCCAATTATGAAACTCGGTTAGTAAAAATTATCCAATACGAAACGCCAATTCTATAGTCCATGTGGACTAGTTCTGAGGGATCTGTAATAAAAAAGAAGGTCTCGAGAAGGAACTAGACATCATCAAAAATGATCTTCAACGGAATGGGTACTCCAAAGTGATGGTGGATCAGACTTGTGCTGAAAGACAGCAGGAGTCTCGCAAGGAAGAGAAGCCATCACAACTAGTGCTTGCACTTTCCTTCATCAGAGGATTATCGGAAAGGATACAGAGAATTGGGTCCAAGTACAACATCAGAACCTGCTTCAGATCCGGAAACTCTATCCGTAGTAGCCCCACGAAAACCAGGCCACCAAACGCGGACGGCAATTCCAAGAAATGCCTTTACCGGATACCCTGTGAGTGCGAACAATCCTATATCGGTGAAACTAAGAGGCCATTGAATGTTCGCCAAGCACAAGAAATACACACAGCGAAGGAAAACCTGCAAATCAGGAATATCAGAGCATGTTTGGACCCATCAGCATAACATCGAGTGGTCCCAAGCTGAGATCATACACAGGGAGGAACACTGGTTCAAGAGGACGTTCAAAGAAACCGCATACATGTTTTCCAACAATGTATTCAGCCGAGTTAGCGTAGAGATACGCAACATATGGAAACCTCTAATCAAGCGGAATACGACCAACTTCCACCAAACAGTCATCTCCCACAAAACCGGTGAAGCGGAAAAAGAGAAGCGGAGATGAGTGAAAGTACTCGAATGACCCATCTGAAGAAGATTGTGGATACTAACAATCGAAACGTCGTGAATTATTTCGGCTTGGAATCTCTCAACTATTTTAAAATTTCAATTTAGTCCAGTTAGTGCTATGATTTCAAACTGACGAATTTATAAAAACACATTTTTGCTGCCCTGCTGACATGATGAGGAGATTTTTGGTATGAAAACAAAACGAAACACTTCTATTTGTCACTTCAATTGCGGGTGTGCTTGACGTAACAGGCGAAAATCGCAGATAGTAGCTGAAAAATATAAAAAAATCGATGAAAAAATGTTGAAGCGCCTTCAAAAGATGAAACTTGTGCTAGCTGAGGATTAACGAGGACTTGTTTTTCAACGTGTGATTCCTAGCGTGGAAACCTAGCATAGGTTCCTTAAATTCGAGACCAATTTCTAGATTGAAAATGCAGAGTATGGAAAAGGACATCCCCGACAAGAATAATTTTTGCGAGAGAACGATATTTTTGTTTGAAATATGCTACTTATAGGAACGATGGAAATTCTCAAATTCTGTGGCCCGTTGCAAATTAAATCTTTCACCTTTTTGATTATGTACAGCTTCCAATACAAACTCTGTGAATTATGGACCTTCTCCATTTTGTGTATTTTAGGACTTGGGTTCTAAATCATCTCAGTGTATGACCATCAGTTCCCTCACATCCCCATTTGACTGAGAGAAATGATATTTGAACTGGCAAGCCCAATAATCATTGAAGGTTATCCAGATATGCATCCAGTGGGGTCCAATGACTAATGTGAATTATCATGATTGTTTTCTTTCGTTGGAAAACACAAAAGTTGAAGGTTTATATTGAACATGTATAAATATTATACAAAGTTGTTCAGATTCGAGCCACCTTACGGGGGTATCATTAACGAGATCTCAATAGTTTATTAAAGATGTTATAGGCTCGTGATATCAACACTCAAATGAATATGAGGTGTCAAATAATTTCTCTCAACAATCAGCTATGATGAAGTCGTGCTGGGAAGTTCGTAGGCTGACAGAAAGAAGTCGCTTGGGGCCAGATCTGGAGGATACGGTGGATGTGGAAGCAGTTCTAAGACCAATTCATGCAATTTCATCATCGATTACATTGGTTTCTGACACGGTGCATTATATTGATGGAACAACATTTTCTTTTCATCAAAATGGTGCCAAGCCCAAGCCATGACTTCAACAGTATTTTATTCAATACATACAATTCCTTTTCACCCATTTTCGTCAAAGTAATAAAAGTTGCTTCACTCAAAATTTTCTTTTCCACAAACTGATATTCCAACGGCTGTGAAATTTGTACACATGTCTTTCGAAGGTTGGGATTTACAAAAATCATATGGATTCAATACTAGCCAGCGTCATCTGTTTGTTAGCTTACACATTTCTCTTTGAAACTCTCAGAAATATGGAGAAGAATTGACTTGTCAATGTTATGCTCATTTCTGTTCAGAAACAGTTCAAAAGACATCTGTATTTGAAATTTTGAAGTTGGTAGTAGCTCAAGTTGAGTGACATCCTGTATAAAAATTCTATGAACTCATAAATTGTTAATTGGAGTAATTACACCTATTTCCAATTTCTGAGGAAAAGTACTATATCTAAATGAGTTGTTTATGATGTGGCAAATTACAGCACATACTGCGTCTATATATATTTTCGTTAAGCTCGTAGGTATATCCTCTCCACCAGAAGTATGTTTATTTTTCATTTATTGTTTTCTATTTCTTTGTAAATCATATATTATTTTAAAGAAAATACTATTTCCGACTTCAACTTTTTTTCCCTATACTAACCTCAACTGCCCCAAAAACGATGGCCACAATTCCAATCCCTTTGACGCTGCTTGCTATCCAATTAGACATTTCATCGTAACAATTTTTCTTGTAAGCGTTGATCGCTGTACAGACATTAGTATCTGGTGCACAGCAACTGTTGATGAGCAAAGCTGTACCATTCTGTACCATAGGATCAAATGGTCCATTGCGTCCACAACACTCCAACTGAAAAATTAAGTTAATCATCACAAAGAGGTTCTACTAAGAAGAAGATCATGCTGCTCAGATGAAATAATAGGAAAAAATGATAAGAATGAAAAACCTTTTGTTGAAGCGTACTCAAGGTGTTCCTCAATGCAGTATTCTCGGACCACTGCTCTTTTCTCTTTATAATTCGAAATTCCATCATTTCTCATCACACTGTAACTTTCATCTTCAAGATGATGATACACAAGTTTCGGACAATTTGAATTGGTAGACGGAGGAGCACTTATGGAATATACAGAGTGCTTATTAAACATGCGGCAAAAAATTAATGGATTATTCCTTTGACTATTCTGAAGATATTCTGTACTGGGATGATTTCTGATAGGGCGCTTTGTATTGAAGATACGAAATCTCTCTCCGAAAATAAAGTCCTGTGCAGTTGAGTTTTACACAAAGCCAGACTGCCACTATGGATATGTCAAAGGATTTGTGGTGAAACTTGTGGTTGAGGACCCAAACAAATCTATTGGATTAATGAGATGATTGTCAGACCAATGATCACTTATGTTGCTTGCCTGGCCATCAGTGGGCCCATCAGTACCACACCATCAGCGGCCATGGATATCCTTCTAGATCTCCACATTTTTCTGGAGAGAGAGGCTAGATAGACTTCATATAAATTTGTCCACATTGCCAATTGCATAAATCAATTTTATGCAGAGTGCAACGGACTGTTGATTGACACTGGAAGTCACAGCATTCTCGAAATGACCTCTGATTTTATGCCTCCAACTGTCAACTACGAACTGCCTTATGAAGTACTGTTCCCGAGTAAAGACGAATGGGTCCTACGAGAGAAGAAAATATTAGTAGCAGATAGTTGTTGGTTCACAGATGGATCAAAAACATCTTCCGGTTCTCGTGCAGGTGTTTCCAGTCGCAGACCCAGGACAGAGATATCAACAAATCTAGGAACCTATGCGAGTGTATTCCAAGCGGAATTGTGCAGAATTGTGTGCAGAGAGATTGGGAGTATTCAACCTCATACACAAGTCAATAAAAATATTCTCAGACCCACTCACTTTGGACCTAACCTAACCTGTGCAGAGAAGCAAAAAAGCAATGAACCAATGTTCCGATACATTTTCACTTCAATCGAAAGAGGACATGGAGTTACATGAATTTTGTATACAGCTTGTCAGAAAGTGAGAAGTTCATTAAGACGTAGCTTTCTTTTTTTTTTTCAAATGCTTAACTTATGTGATCATATTCCGAAAGAGATCCTCCTACTCGCATTTTTCATAAGCTGTAGATTTGATCATTAGACGATCATTTTGGAAATATCAGTGATTAACAAATTATCAATTTCACCTCTCCATTCATCACACTTCTGTCAGGGTACAGATTTCTTAGAATATTGAATGAGGTTCTCATCAACTGACTAACATGTTTTGTGAACATCATGTCGCTATCCAACCAGAGACCTGAGTTTTTGAGTTCTTCCACAATAGGTGTTGGGAATCACACGTTAAAAGGTAACACCTCGTTAGTCCTTAGCTCGCACAAGTTTCTCAACTTCTGAGAGTTGTCGTTCGTATGGGGGCGACAGTTCGCCCAGCAGATTGATATCGGCTTCTCTCATTTCAAGTCCCTGTTCACATTTTGAATACTCAAAAATCACTTTAGATTTGGAAGCATTCAACTTGTGATTACGCGAGTAAAAAATGTCAATAATCCTCTTCAAATCATCATTAATCATTGTTCTTAACTTCATTCGGGCTTGAAGGCTGTCGATTTTTCGGTTCCTGACGTTTCGCTACTGCGAGTGGCTAGTTTGGTGTCTAATTCCTGAACCAGGATAAGGTAAATTGTCAATAACATTCTTCGACCCATTCCTACCTGTTGTTATTCTTGAACTTCTCAGAATGGGTTTCCATATTCGGTTTTTTCTGTTGAAATTATCTGTGTATTTTTGGATCTCTATTGCCTCCCGTACTAGTCGGTTATGACGTCCCTGGTTTGGAACAATGAGTTTCATGTTTCCGAACAGAATACTGTGGTTTCCTTCACTGAGTGCATGTTCCGCCACAGCCGACTTGTTTGGTCTAGCCTGCAGATCCTTTCACGTTTTTCCAGCCTTGTTCCCATGTATCTTTTGGTGGTAGTAGGTCTCTTTTGTCTTAAGCCGGCCTGGGGCTTTGTTGTATCTTCTTGGTGGGCTAGAAATCCGTTAAAATGTTGTGTTTCCCGAAGAGTTCTCAAATTTTGTCTGTGACCCTAAGAATATATGGTAGAAAGACGTGCAACCATCTGAGCCTCTCCCCTGTTTCAAACCGTGGAAATCTTCAGTTTTATGGCCTTGTTGATCTCAGGCATACTGTATCCATTCGAAGACACTTTTAGATGTTCCAGTTCTTCCGCTGGATGCTCTGGTTGACATATTCGTTGAGCCCGTTCTGTTAGAGTAGAGATGACTCCTTTCTTTTGAGTAAGATGGTGGTTTGATAGTGCATCCAGGTTCCTATCCGTGTACGTGGGTTTTTGGTACACTATGTAGGTTTTTCTAGCACCGCATCGTTTGAAGAGTACATTTAGGAGTGTTATGCGCTGGTCTTGTCAAGTCTTCATGGTAAACTTGATGTGGGGGTATTGAGCGTTCAAGTGGTCTAGGAAAAGGTTTAGACTTGAAAGCTCAACATCCCAGCATCAAGATCAGCATGGAGACTGAGCCCAAAACCACATATGTATAATTAAAAGAGGAGTGGACCAAGTATCGAGCCCTGGGGTACCCCGTAGCATCTCAATAAATGGCTAGAAGTAATATCATATGATGAAATATTATTGAAACCAAAATAATTTTACAAAGAACTGCAGGATCTAGAGTATCGAAACTTTACTGTAATCAAGTGAAGCTTTGTCGTAATATACCATGAGCAGAATATAAAAGATGTAAAGATCATAGCAAAAAGTGAAAATGTTCCCCACTGATTGGAAATTATATTAGGTTACTTTGAAAAAATATATACGTGTTTTGCGAAATTTTGTTAACTATAACTTGAGTTGCCTAGGATTGAAAATGATCTATTCTCAAGTATTTCAACTATTTTCTTGTTATCTTGAAAATGTACGATTATCACGTACAAAAAACAACAAACTGCATACAAATAACTTTAAAATGATCATTTAATAGCTCATTAGCGATACGTATTTCTATTCCGGTTATAGAGAAAGATATGATTTCAAAGTAAACCAAAGTTTGATATGTTTACTTGAATATTCCATTCAGGAATTTATCTTCCACTAGTGAATCTAGTACACTTGAAATGTTTTATCAAAATCATAACACTTAGATATTTCAGTTCGTAGAAAATAAAAGTCCCAGAAGAGGTCAATGAAAAGTATGATTCCCTCCAAAACTCACTCATTTTCAATAAATAATGTTCCCCGTATTTCCAGTTCCTAAATAATTTATAGTGTAATATGCACAGTCTTTGTTTTTCATTCCGATTCAGACGAATAGCAATTGATGGCGACTAAAGTTTCTGGCAGCATACTGAAAAATTGGTTGGCAAGTCGCCACATTTAATAAATAACTAATCAATTTGTTCGTCTGAAAATTATGTTTCCACATTGGATTTAGATTCACCGATCGCTCGAGCTTTTGAATGACATTTTTCCGTGGGGCAAAATAATGATAACAATAGTTCAATATCCGTTGCAGTATCAGCCAGAGAAGTAGCAAGCATTCAATGATCGTACAGACGTAGTCATCCGCAACGGATCCCTGACCAACCAAAGGTACGTTAATGACGTGTTGGATATCTAGATACGTCACAGAGTAGAAGCAGAAGGGCACAATTTCATTTTTATGCACGATGGGGCCATCTCCACGCTGCCAGGGTCATGCGTCAGCACCTACAAACCCACAATATCACCACTTTGGAGTGACCCGCTTGCAGCCCGGACCTGAATCCCATCAAGCATGTCTGAGATCAACTGGAAAGAAGTTTCCGAAGCCGCCAAAACCAACCCACCACTTTGGATAAGCTGGGAAATCGCTCTTCGATAAAAGTGGGAGCGTTTCCCTCAAGAAAACCTCAAGAGGTTCATAAGAACCATGCCTTGGCGAATCCGAACTGTGATTTTTGTCCGAGGAGGAAGATACTGAGCCATTAATTGTAATACAGACAGAAAGTTTTTTTTAATAATTAAAGGGTTTTCATTTTGATTTTGGTAGTTCTTTACTGTTATCAGTTTATATATTTTTGAAAGAGTAATTTTTGTCTGAAATGAGGTTGATATCAAAGAAACAAAATTTTCTAATGGAGCAAGACATACTTTTCATGAAGTTAAACGTTGATTTGTTTTCCACTAACTTCTGAAAATTCTCACAAAAAAAAACATTGTGGTACTTCTTATCAGATCATAATCCTGAACTGTTCTCAAAAGTTTTCTGAAAATGTGTTATTTGTAACGGTTCCAATGTGATACTATTTATTCATTTGGGAGATGAGCCATTTTGACAAAACAAATTCAAGTTATCTGGGGCACTGATATTACAGCACGGATATGAGCTTAGGTATTATTAACAAGAACAACAATTATACTAATTTCTCAAAAGTGTTGACTGAAAAACGGTTCAAGTTCATAGCTATAAGTTTTGCTAGTTCCACCATTCTATCAAAATATTTTGGCCAAATTTTGTTGGATCCTTTGCGAACAATTTATACTTACATTTCTCTGAATGGCGTCCACAGCTATGGCGTCATCTTTCTTGGTGTAGTTCGTATAAAGATTATCAAGGATGTGATGTATTTCATCGTCGAGTTCTTTACTTCCATTCTTCACCGCTACAAATGCCAAGATTCCAAGAACGAGCTGGATGATGAATAATGTGAGGCAAATTGCTGCATACTGAAAAAAAATCAATTTAACTGACGACAATTATATTTCTATGAGTTGAGATGTTCAAAAAAGGAAATAATTAATCAGAGTATCGGAGAAGAGGATTTGTTTTTGCGATTTCATTGAAAACTTGAGTTTTTTCTTTTGTTTCGTTACTCTGATTACTTGAGTTGTTGATAACACAAACTTGTCTACGTTTTTTCAACATATTCTGTTTCTCTAATCTTTGTTTTTCTTCACAAAATCAGACATAAACTTGTTGGCGCGTCGAGGAATATTGATTTTGCCGGCAGTAAAACACTGTCAATGGTTAGAAAAATACTTGAAACAAAAACTTTCAAAAAACTACTGGGAGTTTCATTAAAGCTACAAGAAGGCATTACGATTATACCAAATCTTTTCATTTTCAGATCTGCAATGTTGAAAGTTTAAATTTTTCTCTTTATGTTGACTGACACCCGGATAAAAAACCTTGTCAATAGTGAATGCAACATAATCAAATCCAACTTAGAAATCAAGTATTCAGCTCATGTATAGCATGTTCAACACAATGGAAAAATTAATCAGTAGATTTTTGACTTCCTGTTTTGCAAACTCACCGTTGTCAACATGCAAGAATTCTCTTTGATAGCTCCACAACATCCAAAGAATGCTATCAAAGCAATCAGCACTGCCACTATTATACTGAATGTTCCGACTGACATAAGATCAATTCCTCCATTTTGAGTTTTGAGTTTGACGGCGAAAGCTATCAGGATTATAGCTGCTACCTGAAACCAAAAAATGGTATGACTGTGGGTACAATTGTCATCATGATTCCATCATTAGAGTATTTATTTTATTTCTGAAATCAAACGAAGATGTATTTTCAGCAGAGGTCTGCTGGAAATGAATAACAAATCTGGTGAATATGGTGGCGAAGGCATGATAACAGTGTTGTTATTAATTATGAACAAGCAATAACTTGTGAGCAAGTGCTTCAACAGATCATTTTTCACATATTCACAAATCCAACAAAAGTGATTTCTGTGTACTTTCAATTCGCCTTAATTGACATGTCTTTCCAGTTACATTCCAATATTGTGTCGTTATAATATTTTATCGATTCTGTCGAATGATTTATGACTCTATAATGTTGTTTTGATTAGGAATATTTATGATTCTTCCACATGTTTCTCTGCAAATGACTATTGTACACTTTGTGGTGATATACAGTGTGCATACAGGGTGGAGAAAATTACGTGGTTTGTTGATTTTTTCCGGATTTCGAAATATTCGCAGTGGAAATTTTACAAATGCTCAGAAAATATGTTTTTTGAACAAAATATAGCTGCCGGACTGAGTTATGGCCGGTGAGAAGCTCCTCCCTCAAGATGTGCAGTAGATGTGTAGGAATCTGTTATCAGCCCGTTAGATTATTCCAGCCGTAAACATGCAAATTCAGGACCGTATTCAGTTAGTGATGGAATTTAAAATAAAATTGCATAACCATATTTAAAATAGTCAAACTCGTGAAGTCGAGGTTAAACACAATGCGCCCTATCACAATGTTCAGATGGATAGAACACCGACTTGTAACAGTAGAAAACACGATATTATAGACTGGTTAAGGTCTAAAAGTATTTATTTTGACACGAATATGTTGAAACCTGATTTGTACAACATCAATAAACTCCTGAAGCCAAAATTTAAAACGTTCGAGATGAAATTTTAACTCAACATTGCCATAGTGTCTTACGATTACCTCCCTACTATCCAGATTTGAATCCCATCGAATAAGTATGTTCACGTTAGCGATGTCCAACATTTATGTTGGAAGCAGAACCTATCATTGATGAAGTTACGGAAAATCTGATCATAAATGCAGGTGGAAATTCTAGTTTCGAAACTGAAGAAGAAAATAGTGATTGTGACACTGACTAATTTCTTGTGCAACAGCCCAGTATTTCGTACTAAGTAGTTTTTGCAATTTCCATTGGCAAAACTGACTAGTTCGACTCTGCTCCATCTCATTTGCACGTATGTTAGTATTTCAATTATTACAGTTTGAGGAAATGGATTAGCTACGCCACTGCTTGTATGACGTAAGTCGGGTATTCCTTGAAAACTAAAGTAGTGTCTGTTGTGTTGGCGTGCAACTGTTGTTCTCAATTTGGAACAAATTATAATGAAACGGATATAAAACACCAACAACCTCCAAAATCGAATTTCAGAATACCTACATGTGTGTTCAAACTGCAACCATAGCCAACTAACCTTGGAGCAACCAGCCAGTCATACATATAAATAGAAATTGTGAAACGGAAAGAGGAATATTACGATTAAGTTCGAATTACGAAGTGTGAAGGCGAGTAGTTGACTTCATACAGGATGACACAAATTTTAGTTTTAGGGATAAGTCTCTCGAGTATATTCTCTTTATGTGACTGTATTTCAAGCAGAAATTTACGCTATTAAATTGTGTGCGGAGAGATTGGATAAATCCAACCTCATACACAAGTCAATAAAAATATTTTCGGACAGTCAAGTGGCGTTGGAAGATCTTGGATCCTACCGAGCAACGTTTGAATTGGTAGCAAACTGCCAAAAACGACTCTCCTCGATAGGAAGACTCAACAGGTTGTCTCTGGTCTGGATTCCTGCCCATACAGGTTTTTAAAGTTCGGCAGAGCCGAACTCTTACCATCTGACCTGAAAGACCACTCACCGTACAAATTAATCAGCTTCGTTGAGAAGCTGGGTTTATTTCGTAGAGTGTGGATAGGTGTGAGCCACAATAAACTCTCGCGGGTTGTGGTGGAGGGTCGAATAGACCCACTCACTTTAGACTTAACCTAACCTAACCCAATATATTCTCAAACGTGGAAGAGATCGCACGTTGAAATATAAAACCTTGTGAATTAATAACGACAAATTTCGACTTCTGGAGTGTATCGTTTGTAACAGGCAACACCTGGTTAACGAAGAAATATAATATGTAACAGACGTAAAACGTGACACTTTCACCCTCTCGGAGGGGTGAGTTCCAACCCTTGAAACATTAATGAGAATGAGGTCAGTAGCACCTCGTTTGAACGGTCATCGATTTTTTCGTTTCAAGGCTACCTACTTTCTCAAGCATATACCGAGAATTAACGCTATAAAGAAATTGAACCATAGAAATTTCAAGTACGGATTCAGGGTGAAAAATTCATGTCAACTGATCAAAGGAGTTGAAGATATCACTTTTTCTGTTGATGCAAAATTGATTTCGTTTCTCAAATTAAAACTATCAGTTTATCGGAAAAATCTATTGGCCAGAAGGTCAATCAATCTTATAGTGCAAAGAAATATTAGACTTATTGACTGTGTGTTTGTCGCAGAATTATTTCCAACCCAGCGACATAACCTAACCTGACATAACCAGACCTAACTCAATTTAACCTAATATAACCAAGCCTAACCTAACATAACACAACCTAACCTAAACCTACCTCACTCTAATCTAACCTAAATTCTAGCTGACGTAACTTAACCTAACCTGACCTCACCTAACCTAACCTAACATAACCTAATCTAATCTAACATAACCTAACATAACATAACATAACCCAACCTAACCTAATTCTAACCTAACCGAACCTTACCCTGACCTAACCTAACCAAACCGAACCTAACTCAACCTGACCTGACCTAACCTAACCTAATCTAACATAACCTAACTGAACCCAATCAAACCCAACTTTACCTTACTCCAATCTAATCTAGTCTTAAGCTGACGTAACTTACCTAACCTAACTCTCACCTAACCTAACATAATGTAACCTCACTCAACCCTGAGCTAAGGTAACACACGGACGGAGGCCATTGCTGACCTAACCTAACCTTACCGTACTCCAACCTAACTGAACCTTACCCTAACCTAACCTAACATAACATAATTTAACCTAACCTAACCTAGCTCTAATCTAACCAAACTCTAACCTAACCTAACTCTGACCTAACCTTATCTAGCTCTTACCTTACCTAACCTAAATCTAACCTAACCCAAACCTGAGCTAACGTAACAGACGGATGGAGGCTACACCTGTCTCTCTCAAATGAAGGATACACACTTAAAAGCTAATTGAATGTATCGAAAGTCAATTCTCAACAAAGTATATGTAAATGTTGGGCATAATGATTTTTTTTTCATTTCCTCTCGCCCTAAATCCCCCCTATTATGTTCCTCTCATCACTGCCTTTCGGTTGATATATCGGGTGTGGGCGTGGTACCAATAACTACACGATTTCAAGAGACAAGGGAAAAAATTAAATATAGCGTTCAAAATCAATAACTTGAGCATATCGAAAATAACAATGTCAACAGTTTGGTGTCAGATAGATCAGTTGTTTAAGAATTCTCGTGTGGTTCAAGTCCGATGTCTAAGATAGGTCAAACTGGCAGAACAGTAAAAGCACGCATTGAAGAACATATACACAGTTTTCTGTGTATATGTTCGAAACGTGATCTTGTGGAATTATGGAAATCAATAAGTATAGAAATTTCCAGTATCTGAAATGAAGAGAAAAATAACTGAATGAAATTCAGAAATATGAATATAAGGAGAAGAATATATTAACTGACATTGAATAATGACGTCTTCATTATTCTTCATTATATTTACGTAAGTTACAGAGTGAGATTTGTTATTTTTATCTTTAATGACTTATCTTTAACCAATTCCTGTCGATAAATTCATCACAATGTCACAGGATGAAACATAATAGTCAATAATGTTCGCTATATCTACATTATCCATCAAAAGTTCAACTATGCACATTCCAAGAGAAATCGGATTAGCAAATTTCCCGGAATATGATCTGAACGCCTAGCCTTGAGTCATATTGATTCCGGAGAACTAGTCCTTATCGGGTGGAATTTGACGGATTTATCACTTTTATCTATATTTCCACCCATAACTTGTCTCTAGTCGAATAAAATAGTTTAGAAATATATTCCTCCGACATGAGTTATTATATTTCTCTGAAATTATATTTCTCCAAAACGAGGAGACCACTCGCTTTCTTCTGAAGTCAACTTTAATTTCTTCAAATTTAGTATACCGTCGAGGTTAACGAGAACAAGTGAAATGGAAAGGGTTCCAGGTGCAAAGAAAACAAGCTGCGAAATCCTTCAAGACCACTAAACTTTGCTCAATTCTTATGGAATTCTGCGACAAAAGCAACTAGTCTGCTGGGTTGACTGGACCAACAGTTGTCATTTCACCATTTTACCCTCCAAACTTTCAGAAAGAGGACTCATCAAAAATCGATTGTCTTAGTACAGATTCCACAGTTCAATTTGTTAGATTCATATACTGTTTTTTAGTTTTCTGTCTAGAGAAAAATATTTTCCAACAGTATTTCCATTTGAGAAGGCCTCTTTAATTTGATACTGATTAACAGTCAAAATTTTTTAGACAAATTCGACAAACTACATGAACTTCATGAATTTGTGGTATTCTGACGAAAGGATTTTTTCCTTGATTATTTTTCGTACGAAGACTCACGAAAAATTATTTTTCACAAAAAAATTCTCGACAAGTTGGAGATTTCTCATTTTGATTTCAAGTTTCTTATAATATGGCATCATCAGAATATGACTGAGACTAGGATGGTATCCTTGAGGATATTATTATTAGTCCTTTATTGGTTGAAGAAAATCTAACTGGTGGTCTGTACACAATTTTGATCCTAGGGGCAAAATTTTTGAGCCATTGCAGATGTCTTCAATATTATTAAAGGTATGTAAATTTGTCATTTCCCTGAACTATGTGAGTTGAAATGACTTTTTTCTTCACTTCTGCATGACAGATTTCAGAAATACTAATTAATTTCACATGAATAATGTTATTAGCCTTTGAAAACAGGAATAAACGAAAACAAACTTCATCATCTATCAGTTTTTGTACTCTCAAGTTGCATCTTCTTTGTTGTAGTAACACGCTAAATGTAACTTACATTATTTTCAAAATTATGTTTGGTAATACGATTGAAAAGAAGAAAGAAGAGAAGAGAGAAGAGAAGAAAAAAAAATGTACTCTAAGAAGTTCGGCACAACAACGAGACATGCTTTCCACCAAATTTGTAATTATTTGTTGTAGTAACTGCTCGTAAATCGTCAAAAGAGCATCTGCAACTTGGTTCAGATTTTGAAAGGGTTAATAATCCTTCAAACTTCTTTCCAGTTCATCCCAGAGCTGCTCAATAGGACTCAAATTCGAACTATTAGCTGGCCATTTCATGACATTAATATTGTGCTCCTGTAGGAAATTTCTCACGACCCTGGCTATGTTAGCATGGCATTATCTTGTTGTAAAATAAACCCAGCGCCCATATTTTGGGTGAATAGGACGACATGAGGTTCCAATATCTCCTCTATGTAATGGACAGCCGTTAAAGTCCCTTCCCGAAATACCACAAGGTCCGTGTTTCCTGTCAAAGTTAAACCAGCCCATACCATTATCGATCCACCTCCAAATGGAACAATTTCTTGCACACAGTCATCCAAATATCGTTCACCGGGACGTCTCCTTACCCGAACACGTCCGTCATTGTAGAATAACATTTTTTTTTTCATCTGTAAACATTACATTGGCCCACTGCTCTAAATTCCAATTACGATGCTCTTGACAAAAGTTTCTACGATTTCCTCGATGAGCTGGAGTTGATCTAGATGCTCTAGCAGGTCGTCTTGCATGAAGTTGTACTTCGTGAAGACGGATTCGTATCGTTAGGTTCGAAATTCGCGTTCCCGCAGCTTCTATAAGGCGATTTTGCAGTGTTCTTGCAGAATCGGTGCGACCCCTAATTGCCCAAAGTCGTAACGAACGATCTTCTCTGCGGATTGTTGCCCTTTGTCGATTGAGATAAGGGGCTCTTTTCACTATGCCGTAAATTTGGTAGCGATTCCAAGCTCAGGGAACCACAGAATGACTCACATTAGGCATTTGGACTACACGACGCCTTGAATACCCTAAATACCCTACTTCGATCAATGCCACTGCTTTGGCAACTTGAAATTCGTTGAGGCATACCCTACGTATCATCTTTCTACCCAATACATCAACATTCATTGTTTAAATTTTAAAATTTAATACCTGTCACGAACTAAAGTAGAGTGAAACTGAATACAGAATTTTTCATATTAATGATTTTGTAGCTGGAAATACAAAAAGAAGTGAAAAAAGTGAACAACAACCGAAAGGAACATGATAAGAATTAGTATGGAGTACACACCAGAAGTTTTCATCATGAAATAACACATATTTTTTTACTTATTGGATTTTAAGGATGTGTCTCTATACTCATTTTGAGTAGTTTATATCCAAACCATCGTCGCCGATACAATTGAGAAGAGTGGCTATCTTGACATCCTCTTGATTCTCAGATTTATCGGATGCTTTCAGATATATTTCGAGTTTTCGTTTACAAATTGACCAATTCTCAAAGTCGTTATCAGTTGAAAGACTCAGGCGTTTGTACAGAGACGTCATTTTGACTTCTCTAAATGTCAAATGATTTTATTTGAATACTCTTCTTGAATTATGGCTGATATTCTCACAGACGAGTAGCTAGCTCTGGTACCATATTATAAGCCTTCGAAACCAGCAATAAACAGGAACTCTATTATCAATCAGTTTAGTAACAGTTTCTGTACTTTGGAGTTGTATGTTTTTCTTGTAGTAACAAATAAATCGTACTTCAAGTGTCAAATACTTCAATGTGATTCTGTAGTTTTAGTATTTCCAGTCAGTCCTTTGTTGAACGCAATAATTATAAAAAAATACTGAAAACATCACCGATAATTCTGGTGGATTCTTATAATCTTACACAAGAATACTGGAAATTGCGAGTTTTTCTGCAGCTGCGGATCCAAAAGCAAAGGAAAACATCCCAAGAAATACTTACAAGAATGATAAAGTTGAACAGGAACAGAATATATTTGGCAAATCCAGCGGTGCATTCACTAAACCAACCCATTTTTGCTTTCACTCGCGTCTAACACAACGAATTTCAAAAAACACTTGCCAAGCGATCGATATATCTGTTACAAGTAATGCTAGCGACTAGTTGACCACGATCGGAATGAACGAATGTATGCCACTGGGAGAACTTGCGTGACTCACACTTTGTAATAACAGTTTCGTTGGAAATGCGTCGCAATAACAAATATAATCGTAATTGTGGACATAGGCGTGGATTTGCTACACAAAGATTAAGTTCCTTGAACAACACGTCAAGTGATAAATCAAGGAAAATTAAGCGATATAAGTTATTGAAAACCCCTTTGAATAAATATTTGTACAATCATAATAATAATGATAATAATAATAATGATTGCGTCGTCCAATCGGTTTCCGAATCGGAAGGACGAAATCCCGGCCTTGCGGTTCGGAAAATTGAACGGCGTGTACACAAGATGGAGGCTAAGATCACGTCGGCGAGACAACACGCGTCTCGTATCCAATGTGTGATAGATTACAGGGCGGTCAACAGGCCTTTCACAGCTCATCTTGCATTTGCTCACCATAACATCTGGTCAAGCTAGAGTCCAAACAGGGTGGGTCACTTTCAGAAAGGGTTTATTCTCTCTATTGCCATAATCCGTTGCGCTCAGAAATACTCGAGGGTATAACTGTGGCACTCCCGGAAACCATAGGCACAAGGTCACCCATTTATTTTATATGGATGATCTCAACCTTTATGCTTCTGGAGAAAAGGATCTCCATCAGTCCTTGAGGGTGGTGGAAAAGTACACGCATGCTATTGGTATGAAATTCGGGTTAGACAAATGATCCATTTCAAAAGAGGACGATGCGGGGACTATGGAGAGGACGTGCAGCTCGTAGATGGAAGCATCCTACACCATCTGGATGCCGGAGACACGTATACTTACCTCGGGGTGGAACAACGACACTCACGAGAGGTAACAGCAGTGAAGAACTCTCCCCGCGGCAAGTATCAGCACAAACTTCGACAGATCTGGTCATCGGAACTGTCGGGGAAGAACAAAGTTGTTGCAACAAATATGCTTGCCGTTCCAATCTTACTCTACTCGTTTGGAGTAATGAAGTGGACTCGGGAGAAAGTGCATTCGGGTAAAGACCCGAAAAATAATGCATCTCCCCAAATCGTTTGTTCCACGGTTGTACTTCCCCCGACAACAGGGAGGACGTGGACTTTTGAGTTTGGAGTGTCTACATGACAAAATGGGACTGGATGCAGCCTGAAAAGTCGTCAGGAGTTCGGAGCCTCTTCTCTGCTTGGTCCGTGATCATGCGGGAGCAGGAATAGGAGCATTTCGGTATAGTTTTCGTTTCTGAACGAGGTGACCACAACTCTGTCACCGAGTTGGAACCCGTTCAGCAAGAAGCTCATATAAAAGCCGCAGAGATCACCTCACTCATACAAGGATGAGTCAATGCATGGGGTATTCTTCAATAACATTGGAGACCTTGGCTTATCAAAGCGACTTTTGCTTTCCTCAGGTCGAGTGGGCTGAAGTCTTAATCTTCTATAATATTGGTAATGAATAAAAATAGCGAAAAACCCATAGGGAATGAGATATTAGCAAGAAATGTGAACTTTGAGCTCACATTTTGATAGTAGTGTACACCCTACCAAATGTAGGCTTCAAGACAACTTCAAGGATGTCAAAATACAAGCTTATACCAGACTCACCCAAATTTCACTGGCATAACTGAACCATCATTTCATTCTAGGATAAAGTCTAAATCTGGCATGCATACAAAGGTTTTTTTGACGTTGCCACCACTTTCGTTCCAATTAATACATATCTAATCACATTTTTCAATATTTTACTTGGGGAAAATTCAAAACAATATTCTGAAATTTGTTCATTGAAATTTATTGTAAATACAAAAAAATGTTGTACCAGAACAATGATAAAATCATGAAAGTGTAAGCCTTGAGTTATATGAAATAATTTATTTCGGTATCGTTGAAAAACTCCACACACTAATTGAAGGGCTTTTCAATACTGGTTCAGAAATTTGTGAATTTATGCCATATCTTTTTTTCTCTTTTCAGTTATATCGGAAATGAAGTTCTAATTCTCACACAAATGAGTTTTTTCTGCTTATGTTACTCCTCACACAAAATGCGAAGACGGTGACTAGGATCTGGAAAAAAAGAATCAGTAAGTTGCAAATTGGAGAACTCGGTATAAGAAAGAGCTCTAAACTAGTCCATAACATGAGAGTGGTTCGTGAGGACAAATTCTATCATACTAAATGAAAATGCTTCTCATGGTCTCATACAAGAAGGTTGAAAAAACAGAAAAAACGACTAAAAATTATATTTGTACATTATGCAACAATGGAAGTGGTGTTTTTTTTAATCTATCTTACTCCTCACTCTTGCTCCTGCTGATGTAGCAGAGTATGGTCACGTCATTAGAAACACATTGCCATTCAGAGTACAAAAAGCAGAAGTTACAAGCAATAGATTTACATCAAACGTGAATACGGAACACAAACACAAGCTGATTTAAATTCATTGCTGACAATGAAGATGTGTATCAACAGTGTTTGCCCAGTCCAAAAATACTTCTTTTCCCAATTATTCGGATCATCTTGAAGAAGAATTCGTTAAGGCCAGTGTCAAGTCACCTACACTATAGGTTTATCGACTGACACCTATCAGAGATCAGCTACTTTCCTGACTAGTACCACGAAGGACTTCGGATTATATCCGACGGGTGTCAGTGCAAAATAATTCCTGCATATGCTCCTGGCGATACAACTACCGGAATCGAATTTCAATTATTGGAACGGGCCCACTTGCAGACCGGTTTCTGGCTATTTGGCTTCTCCTCAGTACAAAGTAGTGTTTAAAAAAAATCTGTTTTTCCGTTAACCAGCTGTCGCACCCCTACGAACGACAACCCTCAGAAGTCGAAACTTGTGCGAGCTAAGGATTAACGAGGTCTTACCTTTTAACGTGTGATTCCTAACACGGGTAAGACGATAGCAAGTGAAGATCGACTGTTCAGACTAGGGCTTGAGCCACCGACCAACACGGCAGTCAATTCGTGTGAGTGAACAAAGCACCCATGCCGAACCGCTTGGCTACCGACCGATCATGTTGATCATCAACATGCCGTCAATGATTTCTCATAATCAAAAATCGAACTCCTTCCAGGGTATCATTTCTCGAACAAGGTTGAAATAAACGACTAAACTAGGTACTAGCCAATCGCATATCCAAATAGCCCAATTCCTCGTATAAAGAAAAAAGTTCCACGTACTCAGGGGAGTAGTTGTTTTCTGATTAACCTACAGTGCCGGTTGAGACTGGCTTAAACGAATTGTTCTTTCATATAATTTGATTTATTATATGTGAAGTTCCGCAATTTGATGTAGTGTGATCATGTGAATAGAGTCCAAAAGTCTGTATGTTTATTGAAATATTGCAACAACCTGATGAAAACAAAAGAGAGATACGAGTTGAGGAGACTGACAGTGCCCTACGCCGGTTACCAGGCCGGATGTCTACGGATCGGAGTGGTACTGCTTCGAATAGGACAAAATTTTGCCCACTCGAAATGTGAATAATGTAAGTTTCATCGTCGGAAATAGGTGAAAGGTCTTAGTAACCAAACCCCAAAATGATAATATGTTTTTGCCTTTTTTAAAATTGAGCAATCATATGGAAGTATAATTGAAGATTTGTTCTATAAAATGCAAAACTATGAACTAACTTCACTGTCAAAATACTACCACTAGGTTTCTCTTGACGTGGAAGAGTTATACTTGAACTGAGGAATTCAAGAATGAGAAGAGTCCAATTCAACAGCTTGTGCTGTAAGTGAACAACTTGTTTCAAACCACAAATGTCCAGCAGCCCCAAAAAGTGCAGCAGTCATGGTCCTATACCAAAAATGCTCTTTCGACTGCTACAGATCGCATTAGTGGTTTCAGACTGGGGACTAGAAGATGAATTTACAGTTGGACTCGAATATCTTCAAAGAAATTTATATTATCTGCTTGAGCTATCATGTAAAAATTGAAGGAGCTATACAGATAGTTGATCAAATCAATGGCATATACTAGAAATGATAACGGTCCCAGTATGGAACCTTGAGGAACGCCCGACTGTATGTAGTGGAAACTAACTAATGAAATTTATTTTGATTTTACTATAAAACTTTCACAAAACTATCAAACGTGTTTCGCTGAAGCAATAGCTCCCTGAGAGAGACAGCAAATTTCGAGGCTATATAGGCACCTAACCATTTACCAACCAATACATAATTACCTTGCTGAATCCCTCACACAATATGCCATTATAGCCGCGACCAGCTGTAACAAATGTTAGCGTTAAACGTATGGAATTTCTCATAAGTACATTTCAATTCACAAAGTTGTTATCAAGGAACATATAATAGTACAACTATCAAATGGGCATGACATTTTATTGGATGGTTTCATTGCTGTTCTGTTCAAAAGTAGCCAAGAAAAATATTTTACACCTAAATGTGTATATTGTAAAAGCATCTGCTTTTTTATCGTCAGTGGCATAATATAACAGAATAGAATATAGTAGAGTAGGGTAGCGTATGATAGAGAGGGATAGGGTATGATTAAGTGGGATAAGGTAGATTGAAGTAAAGTACATTTGAATAGAATAAGGAAGGATATGATAGAGTATCATAGAGTGAGGTAGGTTAGGGTAGGGTATGGTGGTTTTAGGGTATGATAGAGTGGGATAGGGTATAATAGAATAGGGTAGGAATATATCCTATTTAATCTTGAAGTAGAGTAGATTTGAGTAGAATAGGAAAGACTATGATAGAGTATCATAGAGTGAGGGGGGTTAGGGTAGGGTATGGTGGTATTAGCGTATGATAGAGTGGGATATGGTATGATAGAGAGAGATAGGTTAAATCAAAATAGAGTAGATTTGAGTAGAATAGAGTAGGATATGATAGAGTATCATTGAGTGAGGGAGGTTAGGGTAGGGTATATTAGTATTAGGGTATGATAGTAGTAGGTTAGTGTACATTACTCCCTAACTCTGACACAAAAGTTGAAAAATTTCATCACAATTGATGAAAGGATTGAAAAACTGAAACCTACTTCCACTACTGCTACTCCCACGGCGATTCCTCCAATGATTTTAGCATTGTCTTCAATGAATATACGCAATTCTACAGCACAATCAGCCTTATAACAGTTTCCTTTTGTACAATTTTCTTCGTATTCGCTTGGACAACAACTGTATATGAGACGTCCAGCAGTTATATTTTGTGTTACTAAATTATAATTTTCATTGATTCCACAGCACTCGAACTGAAAAATAGAATACACGTTGACGATTGTAACATATATTGAATATTATTCAACTAAAATCGGATAGAAACACCTACATCTAGATGAAAAGGCAGGCATGCCAAGGTAAAACCACCTATATAGAGTTTCTCTTGCATTTGTGCCATAATATGGATCGACGATCCTTGATTTTCCTTGATTGAAAATCAGGACCGCCTGCTGGGCACTGATGAAGTCCAGAAGGCTGAAATTGCTGTATTCCGTTGGCTTGTGGATTGATATAATTGTCATAGTGCCCGAGTACCCCTGTCTTTTATGTCAGACCTATGATTCTGTGTTGGAAACAATGAACCCACTCAAACCAACTCTTATTATTGAACAATCTGCCAATTCAGACATTCGTCGATACAAAGACCTGATGATTTTGTTTCTGTCGATCCTGCACTCACAAAATCAGAGTTATCGTTTACTCTGAAACTGATTATGTCACAGCTACGTTGTCGATGATGAAACCTGACTGATGAAGTTTCGTCTATCTGTCTGTGGAGTATCTGTAGAGAAAGGGAGGGGATGTGTAGGCTCACAGTACTTAGGTCACATGTGATCCATTGTAGATGCTCCCGAGGAGTTGTCCTCCTAGCTCATCGACGATCCTGTCCTTTCCAGGAAGGTGGACAGGTCACTGGAAAAATTCTCTTCATATCGGCAGATGTAGGCCAAGATTCGCCGAACACACACTTTCTCATTGACGATAACTCCGTACACTCGCATAGGACATACCTGACAGTTTCATCTTCCTGTTCACACATTCTGCAAAGAAGTGCATCCACTAGCCCCATATTATGAAGGTGTTTGCTTAGTTGACAGTGGCCAGTCAGAAATACTACTGTTAAGCTTAAATTTTTCCTGGTCATCGCCAGCGCAGCGCAGCGGTTTGCAATCGTAACATGGCCATTAACGCAACCTCCTTAACGTACAGGTCCAGAGGGGTCAGATCAGTAATTGATTCAATTGCCATGGTTGGTGTTGTTCTCATGGCTCCTGTGATGTTTAAACAAGCCAATCGCTGTATTTGATATAATTTTTGGATGGCGTTGCTTGTAGAACTTCCGGTCCCCATGCAATGGTACGTTAAGAAGTGGGTTGTGAACCAGTACTTCATCTCTTTCATTCATATTTAGATGGAGGTTACTTGCTGGATTTTTTTTACATTTTCAAATACTTGGGGTCATTTTCTTTCCAGCATTGAATCATCGCGATTAAATACTATTATCGATGTATCACCCGCATACATCGTAACAGAAGTTGAAATGACCAAGTCAACAACAAACAAACAATATAGGTCACAGTTCCGATCCATGAGGAACTTCAACGTCGGACATAAGGCATTTGAAACCTGGGCGTCGACAGCAACATACTGTTTTCTTTAAGACAGATAGTCTGCTATCTAATTCAGAGAAATATTTTGAATACCATAACGAGAGAGTCTATCTAAGGAAATTTTATGATCGTCGCAGTCAAAGGCCCTGCTCGGATCAAAGAATATCCCCAAAGGGTATGAGTCTGTCTCGATACAATTCACAATCTTACTGTAGTGAGAGAGTATTGCTGTTGTAGATTAGGACGATCCTGTGTTGAGAGTCATGATTACTAAATAAAGTGGCAGTTTTAACAAAGCTGGAAGACATCTTTTCAAGACAAACATGGAAATTCCATCATATCTTGAAGAGGATGTACCATTTTGAGGAGATCACGGAGTACTCATTATATAAATATACATACATATGTATGAAGGAAAATTAAAAAATGAATAGAAGAGCACTCATCCGACACATATGCACTAAACAAATAAATGAATTCCTTACCTCCGTTTGCAATGTATTAACTATATCCAATTGAGCTTTTCTTTCTGGTACAAACAGATCCTGGTATAGTTTATTCAAATATTTCTCAACCTCCTTATCTAATTGTTTATCGCCATTTTTGATAGCTAGGAAGGCCAAGACCACCAGCACCACTTGGATGATGAAAATCGTTATCATAACGAAGGCATACTAAAAAAATCTGAATGTTAAAATCTTTGAGAAACATTCATTTCATGGTGTCTGTAATAACGAACAAGAAGGAATATTTACAGTGTGTCTATTGTCAGTTGAACACGGGTAAGTAGCAATTTCTCACCGTTGTCAATAAACATCTGCTCTCTTTGACAGCTCCACAGCATCCAAAGAAGGAAACCAATGCTATAATTACTCCTACAGCTATAGTAAAGGAGCTGACGGACATTATGTCCAGGCCACCATTTTTGTTGTGGTAAATCACCCCAATGGCGATAAGAGCTATTGCTGCAAGCTGGAAATAGAAAAAATATAGTCAATCAACTATTTTTACAGATTTTATGAATAGTGGAACCCAGTCAAGGAGATTGAGGGAGACCAATGCCTACATTTTCAAGGAGGTGTTGACGTTCTGATTGTATGTAATGTACGCACAGTCTCTCATGAAAGTACAGAGTATTCCCCAATAAAATATCGATATTTTTGGTTACTCATGGCTCTATGTTAAAAAAAACAGTCAACAGGTGAAGCACTAGAACATTTTCCATCCAGACATACTGACTGAGTCCGATTTCTGAGGTAACTTTTCAATAGATCTACAGTCCCTTCAGTAAATCCTTCACTAGAACCTCATTAAGATATACAACCTGCTTCTGCCGGTGAAGATGTGCATTTGTAGCCTATGTTTTGGAATTCAAGTGTGGATCTCTGAGGAACACCAACACACAAATTTTCATTCCATTTTGTTCAGACTAACAGAAGTTGTCTCACTAAAAATGTTCTATCCCACAAATCAACAGTACGACAGCTGTGAACTGTGTGGTTAGGGTTAACGAAAAACCATATGGATTTGATACTAGCAACGCCATCTGTGTCAGCCCCCCTAATATCACCACCTTTTACATATTCCGCCTCTACTATCTCCACTATCTGCCTAGAATGACGGTCCCCGATGGGAAGCATGTATAACGTCAGGCATGATAAAAATTTCCACGAAAATCAAATAGTTATTTATGTATCAAGGGAATTAGGAGGGCCTTAATTACCGATGGCAAAGTTTGCGTCCCGAGGGCCTCTGGCCCGAGGGACAGCAATTGCCTGAGGTTATTAAGGCTCACTAATTCCCGTGGTACATAGATAATTTTATTTTTGACCGATTTCAATAAAATTTTGTTCATTTTTGAAACGGAAAAATGTACCAATTCATTACCTTCCCGGTATATTTGAATCAGGTACCGTTGATTATAGTAGAGTTTTCTTGTTGCTAGGTTGTTGCTATGTTACTTGTTTATAAACAGAACTTTGTTATCAAGCTGTGTTTGCGGTGAAAACGTGTTTTCTACCCCAAATATAATGGAGGATATTTTGAAAAAAGCTGAACAAGCAAGAGAATCATTAATTCCATCGAAAAGTGAAGCCGTATACCAAAAAGAATACAAGATATATCTGGACTGGCTGACACGAAAAAATGTTATGCCAAAAGATGTCACTGAAACTGTATTTCTGGCATATTTTCAAGAACTGGTAAGGAACCTCGACTGTAGTGAACAGAAGCTCCAGCCATACAAAAGGAAAAATTGTTTCCAGTGGCGGAAGTAATTTTCAGGGAACATTTCAAAATTGTACATTTATTATTTGTAATGACGTGAATAAATAAAATATGGTTCAGTTTTCATTTCTATTTATTTTTACTGGTGAAAGGTAGAGGGAATTATAAAATCTATAATGTCCCAAGGGAGTTATGATCCTCTTTATTGATAGCGTAACTATGACGATATAAGCTTATAATATCCCGGTCAGAAATAAAATATATAATTCACTTTCTTGCAAGTTGATGATTTCAAATTCGTGCCAGTTATGTTCATGTAGGATTTGAACTCAAGCAGAGGCGTATCACTCTTCTTTCCAAAAATTGTTCTGTACAAATCCCACAGAGACGCCACTCTCAAGAATAAAATAATATGTTATAAGCAGATAACGGTCATAAATACATCATTTATGATCCTTTTCATGGAAAATGTTTGTATATTTTCTACTTTTAATAAACAACACAATCTTCTAACGTTTGTAATTCATCAGCAAACAACATCATCTCATTCACCAATTCAATATTATTTTGGTCAATTTGCAGAAGTATGATGAAAGCTATTATATGACCCTCATTTTGCAAAAATAAATTAATAATTTATTATATTTGACTAGTCTATACTGTGAGATGATCATGCAAATAAATGGTATCTCTATTTAGACAGTGATATGATATTGAACTCATGACTTTTTTTAGGTCTCAATCTTTTGAATAAGAATGAATGCTTCTTCAATGTTCAGGTTGATTAGGCCATGACTTGATGAAGATCCATAGTAATTTCATGAACTACACTTTACGTTTAGTCTTTACTTTACTTTAAAAACTTAATTTTTAAAAAAAATCACATGTTACGCTATCAGAGTAGCTTTTTCGAGGAAGCTACTGAACATTGAATACCTATTCTTTGTTGAAACCTTCTGTGAAAACTTTATTAGTATACTTTCCATCAAATATCAAAAAGCACTGGGTAATACTCAGAACGAATCTAAGTTTCAATTTTTTGTATAAACAAAATTTGGCTAAAAACCTGAAACTACTTCAAATCCGGTTCTTGTGAGGTGAAACTAACATAAAAACTACTCACCAGAATCAACAAGTTGAAGAGGAAGAGAATGTATTTGGATATACCACTCAAGCAGCCCATTTTTGATAGAACTGATATCAAAGAATCTGAGGAAATTCAGTACTGAAGAATTATCACAGTTCCATATAGATATACCTATATGGAATATTGCAGATAAGATAATACTCTGATCTCATAAGTAACAGAATAATAAAGTTAATCAGAAATGGAGCTGTAATAAAAATAACAATGGAGCTGCTTGATGATGAAAACAATTCCGAATACTTTGAAAGATTGAGGTGGGCCCCTATACTTCATTTCAAAGTTTCTGTGAATAATCTGATCCAAAGTATTCCTCATGGAAGTACAGTTGCAGCCGTTTAGTCTAGACACAGTTCGAAGGCTATATTTCATTTTTATACACGTTCAAAAAAAAAAAAAAAAGTTCAATTGATGAAGGTCATTATTATTATCATTACTGAGAAGGATTTCGACAACCTGACTATAATGAACAGTGTTATCCTATTCTCTGTGTACTCAAAAATTCTAGCGGTTTCAGGCCCAGATGAGCCGCTGATTTTTGAGAGAGGAAGGGTTTGGATTTTTACTTCTCCATAGAATAGAGGATCAAAACTCTATTTTTCTTAAGCTGTAAAATCGCTGATATCCATCAGGAAGCTACTCATCCTCGTTAAAAATTGTTAAGTGGATTTTTATTCAAACCCACATTGTTGTGAATCAATGAATCTGCAGACCTGTCAAAGAAATGTCAGCATTTTTCAAGCTTTCCCTTCCAATTCAATTCTGAAAAATTCATTCAAGTTGTTTTTTGATTCCCGCGTTTGCAAGATTCGGAATCACCCCTTGTAAACACCTTCCTTGGAGAATCTTGAGGATTTTTCACAATGGATTTGCATCTTTTGGAGAAAATGAAGAGGAAACTATTCGAAAACCATTAAACACGCATAGCAAACGGTTCAAAGTTGTTTGGAGCTATGTATAGATAGATCTAGGAATCAAAAAAAGAATAAAGGATCAAAACTCAAAGTTTTCTGAAGCTGTATAATCACTGATATCCATCAGGAAGCTACTCATCCTCATTAAAAATTTTTGAGTGGATATTTATTCAAACTCACTTTGTTGTGAATCAATGAATCTGCAGACCTGTCAAAGAAATTTCGTCATTTCCCAAACTTGATACCCTTATCAGCTCAGTAGTTATTAATAATCTTCTTATCTTTGACCGTCATGTATTAATATATTATCTCTCGTTGTTTGCGACATCAGACGTATCTTTATTTCACAAAATTCAATTGTCGGTGACTACAGTGGAAAATTATAATATCATATCAACAGCTTCTCGCACTGAGTGTGATTATGAGTCACTCGATGAGTCAAGAAATATATGATTTTCATGTGATAACATTTTATTTGGAAGAGATTGCGATAAATCTCCGTATATCTTCAAGTAGTAATCATACCATTTTACTTTATTGGAACGCCGCTGTAGGAGTTGAGGTAATTGCAGTGCCGACTCTTTAGCCAAGGAAGCGGCTGGACTAAGAATTTTAGGACCCAGTGGCACCTACTCCCTGATGACTTCGACAATTGCGGAACTAGCCAAATGTTACACCCATACTCAATCCTTAGAGAGATGGGACGGTATCAAAGGATGCAATCTTGCCATGATCACTTTGGGCGACCCTGGGAAGCTGGCGCCGAAGAAATATCTGGCGATGACCAAGAGAAATCTACGCTCAACAGGGAACACCTCCATAATATGGGGCTAGTGGACACACCTCTATGCAGGATGTGTGAACAGTAAGATGAGACTGTTAGGCTTGTCCTATGCGAGTGCCCGGAGTTATCATCAATAAGAGAGTGTGTGTTCGGCGAGTCTTGGCCTACACCTGCCGATATAACGTAGATGTCTCCCAGTAATGTGTACACCTTCCTGGAAAGGGCAGGATGGACGATGACCTACGAGGACAACTCCTCGGGAGGATGTACAATGGGTTACATGTGGCCTAAGTGCTGTGGGCCTACACTCACCCTCCCTACTCTACAGATACAGAGTAACAGATTCATCATACAGGGCTTTCAGGAAGTAGGTTACACGTAAATTCACTATTAGCTGTATAATAATGTGTATCAACCAAATATTGATAGATAAAAAGTGTACTTGATAATGATAATAATACGTTGATTATTTACCCCCAACATTACGAAAAATATACGTGTATACGAGTATATAATTCAACGATATCATGCAAGGCAAAATAATAGGTCAAAGTTCAGTTTTTTTTTTCTACCAAGATAGAATAGAAACTGTTCTTCCACCTCAACCTTCCTACATCCAAAGTTCTTTGACTCAACCTGAACTACTGCGGAAAAAGTGAAAGTGGAAAGAAGAAGAGAATATAAGAGATAATTCACAAGAGATTAATTATAGACAGAAACAACTACTTTTATACAAAACACTTTGGAAACAAATACTTCAGTCATATACGACGTGGAAAGCCTTTATAGCAACGTATCTATCGAAGAAGCACTTCAAATCATACAAAGGAAGCTATCCGAAGACGAAAACCTGGAACACAGAACGAACTTACCTCTATTAGTACCCACTAGGATGATGTGTAAGGAACTGCTATTTCCAACTGAAAGATGAACTCTTTACACAAGATGAGGAGCTGTCAATGAGATTGCCACTTTTAACTAGTCAGTATCTGTATCACCATCAGTCTACTAGAAGAGGAGAATGCTCTGGCCAGTGAAGAAGCCCACAAGAAGCCCCGAGTTTGGTTGAGATACGCTGACGACACCTTCTTAATATGGAACCATAGGAGAACTAGACACCTTTCTGAAGCACATCAATAGCGTAAAAACCTTCCATCACCTTCACAATGGAGAAGGAAACTCATGGCGTACTGCCACTCTTTGATGCATTGGTGAAGAAGACCAAGACTAATTAGAAATCTTCAATCAAATGGAAAAACGGTTAACTCCCACTGCACCGATGAAGCGGAGAGAGGAAAGAGGGGAATGACCATATGCACAGTCATTGCTTGGAGGAATAGTCCAATCATCACCTGAAGACGATTGTGGATACTAAAACGATAGGAAACGTCGTGAGTTAACCTGGTTCGAAATCTTTTTAATTATTTTCATTTCATTTTCAATTGTTCAGCTTTCAATTTTTGCTTAATAAAACCATTATTTCGAGCTATCCATTCCATTCTTAAATTTTGTTTGTTCTTTCAGGGATTTCAAATTAAATTATATCATATCACACGATGAAAGTCCCAACTAGTGAAATTTACAAATACTTTCATATGAGCATTGAATTATACAACTTTTATTCATTGAATTATACAATGTTCATATAAAAGTAATTGTTTCGAAAGTATTTATGTCGAGAGGGTTTTTTTCTTCCAGTTTGTGGTCTGAAAGTTATTCCTTTGTATGATCTATACATCTTTGAAAAGAGTTTATTTTGAAATAGCTTGTTTTCTTCCACTGGAAGATTTCCTTATCGTTTTGTATGAAAATGGAGAAGTGGAAAGTCGAAATCTTCCTTTCTCAAAAACAATATCTCTCAAAAATATCCTACATCCATTCAATAATTTTTTTTTTGAATAATGACCCGATTGGAGGTTGTAATACACATTTGCACCGTTGTATTTATCAAATTCTAGAATGGTATTTTCCGTTTTGTAATAAATTTCCACCGCTTGATGTTTTCATCACCCAGTTGTTGTTTTTCCATTTGTTTCATCTCTTATTTGGTCCTGATGAACGTTCAAATAACTTTCTCCTTTTCAAAAATAGTCTTCATGGTTGACAGCGAATAAAAATATAGACAACAAGAATATGATTTAATAATAAACAGGGTACAAACTGTTATTCGATGAAAATAGTAATATTTTTCTCTGTGGCTACATTTTTGTTGCGAAGCAGATGGTGAATACGCATATAATATGGATCACCTGAAATGAAAACACATGCTTAATCAACTTCATACTTCTCAGTTTCAAATTATTTTTCATAAGAAATAAGTCAACCTTGTGAAAGTATATTATATAAACAATCACTTCATGAATGTAGCATGTAAGGTGAGGAAATGTGCAAAAAGTTTTGTTCATCTCATAAACACAGAAATACTTTCACAACTAATGATTCACAAAAGCTATTTTAAGTGTCATGGATATTCGAAAAATCATAGGATTCGTTCATTCAGAATTCCAATAAACATTTTCGAAAAAAGTGGAGGTATCCAGTGAACTCAGCGCGGAAAAATTCAACAATTTTCTCACTGTTGTGGCCAAAAATACAATCGAAACCTTGAGCTGCTTTTCAATTATTAGGAACATGCCCGAAGGGTTGAGTCAAATCAATCGGAAGGGGGTGATAGGGGGAAAGTAATGGAAGGGGTTTAACAGCGAGTTGATCATTTTGAAAATATTTAAAACATAAAATTAACCTCACCTAACCTAACCTAACCGAACCCTAACCTAACCCTAATCTAAATCTAAACCTAACTGAACCCTAACCTTACCCTAATCTGAACCTAACCTAACCCTAACCTGAACCTTGCCCAACCTAACCCTAACCTAATATTACAGACGAATAAAAGCCATACTTGACTCTCTCTAATGAAGGATACACACATAAGACAGTATATCACAGTGAGAAAGGCAAAGAACCATTGAAGGTAGTTGAAAGTGGCCTAAATGCGACTTGAAAGAGCCTAGTTACAATGGTGATGTTCTCGCTTTACATTTTCAAATAGATACAAGGACCTGTTTGTTATTCGTTGTGTAGTAACTTTTTTTGTCATTCTGGATACCCCTTCTTCAGTCAGTTTGGATGATTACAAAGTCGGTATTTTGAGAGGAGCTGAAAGTATATGTAAAAATAGTCGTGAACCATATCATTCAGTTGCTATACAGTATACATGTATCTTTTGTCAACTTCGATTCAATAATAACTGTAATGATTGTCGAACTGTTTTGTGAATTATTGTTTGGAATAAACAAAGAGAATATCTTGGTAATGAAAAAAAAAGTACCATGTAACATCAAATGTATAGGTAAACGAATCTACTCTGTCCTATTTTTATAGTATTCCTTTCCATTGACGACCTCATTTCGAAACATCGTTTGGTAGGATCAAATGTGCTCAACAGAATACTATATTATTCATTTCAATTTGTTGATTTCACGACATAATGAATGTTCAAACCTTCAAACTTCCAAAAAAACAACGTAAGCCATATTTGAAAATGCTTTGGCGTTCCTTTACTACCCATTGATGAAATATCAGTTTCTTTTTCACAACTTTAAATGTAGCCAAGATTTATTTTACCTGTAAACAACAAAATACGGCTGTAGAATATCCAACTGTCATGGACAAGTCATCCAAAAGTCTGTTTACTGCATCTGCACAACCCATGCGTTTGCTGCCTTTACATGTTTCTTCAAGGTTTGTGATGCCACAGCATTGAAGCTGGAATGAATCAGACAGAGGAAATTGATTGTTCCACCACTTGTTTTCCGAAAAATATACATGTAGGAGGGGAATTAACAAGTTAGCAATAACATAAACAGTGATAACTTGGAAAGTAACAATATGGTAACATACAAAAAATCCAGAGAGATAGTTTTTGGGTTCAAAAGTGCATATTTCTTTTTCAAATTCAATTGGAATTTCAAATAATATTTCCCATATGTGTAATTGGTGGTTAATTGTATGATTTTATTCCATTGTAATTGATTTTTTATGAAGACAGAATTAATAAACAAAAATTATTGATTAATTCAGACTCTTGAAGGTTTATATCAAAATCAAGTCAAATTATTCATCAACCATAGATCGCAAAACTGATATTGGATTGGTCAGACAGAAAGTTATAAAAATAAACATATAATCTGTGGAAAAACGCCGACACACGTGTATTATAACTGAGAGGGCTACTTTGAAACGACAACGGATCCTGGATTTAATGAGCAAAAATAAAAACGTAAGTTCTACTACTTTTTGAATCTTTGATGGGAGTAGAGACATCTGGTGTGTGGAAATGGAAAACACATCGAAGGAATTGCAAAAAGAAATCTGCAAACGATTATCTTCATTCACAACACTGACTCATAGATGGCAGAACCATATTTGAATAAATAAATCAATTCTTGAATTATTGAGAATTATCTTGTGACTGAAAATGTATTTCTGGTGATGATAATAGATTAGATGGTTACTGTGATATAAGCAAATTATCAAAAAGTGTATATGAATTATGACGACGATCCAGATTTTCATCGTTTCAGATTACCCACAATTAACTAATTAGGTACTGTAAATACAATATTTTTAAGCTATCGTCCTCATGTTTTTTATTCAAATTGGTGTTTGACATATACAGGTTGAACATATGGAACAATTTGTTTTCTGAATTCAAGAAACAAGACTATATTGACAAAGTTTCTGAAAACTTGATATTCTTCTTCATATCCTCCATGCCATTCTCAACTACAACTAAAGAATATTACTTGTGGAAATGTCAGATGATAGTAGCCATTAGGGATGTATTTCTTCTTCCTGAACAGGTATTATACTAGTCAAAAAGGCCACAGTACAAAACAATTTTCATGTTAAATATATAATTGAAACTCTACATGGTTTAGAAAAATATTCAGGATGGATCAGGACTGTATAAGTTGACCTGTGATTAGGAACCAAAATTTTATATTGGCCAACCGGCAAGAACAATTTCCTAGAGAATAAAGGAGCATAGGAGAAGTTTCATGAATGTGAATACCAATTACACATTTGCAAACTTTTGTGGCATAGGGCGATGACTTCAGCCACACTTTTCAGTTTGTCCTAGACAGGGTGTAACATAAGGCAATCTTAAGAAAAAAAGTCTATATGAACTTGTGTCCGAAAATGCTTAATTTCAGCACAAGTTCATATAGATTTTTTTTCTCAAAATTGTCTCAGGAATACGTCACTTGAAACTTTAACGTCCTTATAATACAACCTGTATACACATGAAAGATTCTCTGTTGATGTAGATGTATTTATTTTCCAGTTTGTAGAAGGTCATAAACCAAAAAAACATCAAGGAACATTGACTTTTCTACAAAAAATAATGTCTCTCAACGAACATTATCATTGGATAGTTAACACTATTTTTTGTTCATGTAAAGTCAAAGCGGTACGAATCAATGAAGCACAACACAGCACTTAACAAGTATTTATTGGCAAATTCAAGTTCATATTTGAGAACGTACTAAATGCTTAAAACTAAATATTTACAGAAATAATATGTACAAAACTAGTTATCTAGGAAGTGAGAAAAATTACGAAACGAATAACATTTGAACCATATTACGAATAGTGTTGCGGTAACAGAAATTAGCAAAAAATCGTGCTAGGGGACTACGAAAGCAAAAGAAAAGGAATCGCTCAATTTTAGCTAAATGTCATTGGCTGAAAATGAACAAGGTACCCAGAAAAAAAGTTTAGGAAATAATGTCATTATTTCTGAGAGGAATATTTGTACCTATCTTGTCGCAGGAAAGTATAAGTATGAAAAGTTGTACTCGTAATAATGAGTATTTCAAAGGAATGGTTCCTCAAAATATATACAAAATTACATGAGGCACATTTTTTCTGAATTCCTGCTTTCCTATTTACTTTCTTATAGGTATAAACTTCGCTAGCTATTTATGAGTACCAAATTTTCCACCACAGTAACAAAAAATACATTAATTTTACTCCGCAAGTTCCAAATTGTACTTATCACGTACAATCCTGTGCCTGATTAGCACGAGCATCCTAATACACTGAGCAATTCCTTGTGGCTTCGATATTCTGGACTTCAATGTTTTCCACTTAACCAAATAAGACTTTTTCGTAATCTCATACTGCCTCCGTTCCTTAAGATTTCTAAACGGCCGGCAGCCAATTCAAAATTTTCATATTCTTATAGATTTCGCTCTTGAATTATTTTTGGCAGTAAATCAACGCTGCACTTAATTCTCTCAATANATGTACAGATTTTTGACTAGAAAACACTGAAATTTCACAACGCTAACATCGGTTCTAACTCACATGTTCTTCTACCTCACTGAAGTAATACTCGGAACCGTTAAGTTTCAGGTGTTCCTCCATAAGTAATTGTGTCCTGGACCGTCTCGGCTCTCCATTATTTCGGAAAGCGATGATGGCGATGATCAGTTCTAGGCATAAAACGACGCAAAGGACCAAACCAAACTGAAAACAAACAGAGGGGCTGTTCAGTGCATACTTCAACTTTCATTATTGGGAATATCATGGTTGAAATAAATCTGAAAAGACGTCAATTGGAAATGTTGACGTTGTTGGTGGAAAGGTGATACATTCTCACGAAACTGCAACTGTATGAACAATTGTTTGAGTTTGATGAGTGAAAATTTCATTATACCAGAAAAAATTTTAAAAAAACTGAATGAAAAATGATTCCAATTGAACTGTTGGTAAGAAAGCAGATCTTCAGTCTGAACTTTCTTGAAAAGGGAAAATCATCAACAGCGACTATTACATAGCGTTTTTGAAGCGTTTGAACGACGAAATCGTGGAAAAACTGAACCATTTGAAAGAATAGAATATGCTGTATCATCAAGACATTGCACAGTGTCACAAATGAATGAACACGATGGCAAAATTGCATGGACCAGGCTTCGAATTCCTTTCGCATCCACCGTATTCTCTAGATCTGACCCCCAGTGAATTTATCCAGTTCTCAGACCTGCTGAAGAGAAATTCGGTGCCGATTAAGAGATAATGGTCGAAGCTATGGCCTTTTATGTGGCTGAAGACAAATCTTACTATAAAAATGGTATGCCCGCTACAATCGTTATGTCGCCCTCGAAGGCACAAGATTTTGAATGCTTTGATGCAAAGATGCTGGAGTTTGATGTTTTCATTGTTACTATTTTTATTCCAATGTACCCCTGATTCTCTACGTGGAACAACGACACATGTTCAGGTAGTTGTTATTGTTTCATGCAACATTGACAAAAGATACCGCTATCTTTTCCGATAACTGACATTGATGTGATATTCATTACGAATATTTACATACCACTCAAAGGAAAATGTGGATCTATCAAAGCATAAACGAGGCAGAAAAGAACAATCGACAAATGATCGGAAAACATGTGTTTGCATAAATAAAGCCACCGTTTTCCAGTATCATGAAATAAAAACACACAATAAGGAGCTTCAGAGAACTATTATTTCTGGTACTGCAAGTTTTTCATTATAAAATGTCACTCATTGGTCATAAAGTTTACTGCAATGAATTTTCAAGGTTGAAAAATGAAAACACTTTGTTATTCGATGTTGTATAAAAATTTAAACAGATTTGAAACCCAAGAGTGTGCAAATTATCTCATAAATTATTCAAAAATTACATAACGAGTGTATTATTCCATAAATTTGAATAGAGCTGAATTTGTTTTCATCAAAACTTACAACTTTCTAGAGTTTAGTAATAATTTCGGTTCAAAAGCTTTACTGAACTGTGACACAGATTTCGCTTCACACATAATCATGAATGATTCATTTATTCCCGCAACTTTTTGTAGTTTGAGCCAGTGCTCGACTATAACCAAAAACAAGTATCGAAATTGTTGAAACTACAGAGCTCAAAAGAAATTCCACTGGACTGAATCAGTTCATGAAGAATTCAATAGAAAATCTAAACATTTGGACCTTCATTTGGGTGTTCAACAAGGTTTCATTCTGAGACTCGTTTCATTTGTATTTCACATCAGAGTGGTTATATATCGGCCTCCTCAGATGATAACAGTTGGTCTGAAAATGCTAATATTAAAAAAGTTCAAGTTAGGATCTTCAACAAAGCGTGGTAGACAAAATGCAATATAATTATTTATAAATAGTCAACAAATTATACCTTTGCCTGCCTGGTAGGCGCCTGGCCCTGGCGCCTGGCCTGGAATTTGGATAGATTTGTCTCTATCTATATCAAATCTATATCAGTATCACTTACTATAAAGTATAACGTTCTGTTGTAGCTTTTGGTACAGATGCATCCTACAAACGCCAAAACTAGGCTGATTGATCCAAGTATGATAACAAGCGTCGGCAGTTCCAGAAGCTCCAATCCAATGTACGGCCTAGGCCATCTAAGTTCTCCCATATGGACCACTCCTAGGGCTATCAAAGACACGCTTAGGATCTGAAATGAGAAAATTGTCAGTTATAGATTCGGATTTCGAATGTACCCACAAAGACGGCATACGACGTTTCGATTGTTGGTATCTTCAATATATTATAAGGTCCCTTCTTCATCGATTGTAACCTAAATGCTGTCAAATTTATACAGCTTCTGCAAAATCTAATTATTCCAACAGTTAGTCTACTTTCTGATGACGAAATTTGCTTTCAACAGCGTGGTTGTTCAAGTCACAAGTCTATCCTAATTACGTTTTCCTGTTCGATTGATATCTGCACGTGGTACGATAAAGTGACCTCCCAGATTAGCAGACTTGTCTCCAAGTGACTTCTTTCTTTGGGGGTATCTGAAAGAATGTGCCTATCAGCATGAATTTCAGAGAACTACAAAGTTTGATGAATTAAGGGAAATAATTATTCAACTTTGTACCAGAATTACGACAAATAAACTTAGAGTTATGAGATTAGTTTTAGAATACAGGTTCACTTTATTTTTCAATTTAGAGCGTGTATTTTATTTTCAAAGCTTCATGGTAAAAAAACGCACCTATTCAATCATAAAAACATTATTCGTTAGGTATGCATTGGGATTCGTATGTTCCGATATCTATTTTCCACATCTGTATAATAGATTTATGTACATCGATATCACTAGAGAATTTCACCAGTATTTCTTGGTATTATTGTGAATCCCCTGAAAGAAAATGTCTTCATGACTTTCTTACGAAGAAATAACGTTAGAAGACATTATAAAACATAAAACCCTTTCTCGTTGACACTTTTCCAGATGTACAGGATGCATTTATAGATTTTTTACTCCGAAGTTTGGTTTATGAAAAACCATCGACAATTTTATTTTTCCATTCCCAACGAACCAAAGAATCAACCGAAATTGTTCCATTAGTTCGTTTTAAAATAGCAATTACTCTAAAATGGACAACTTTTCACTAATTTAACCGACTCTGTATCTCTCGTATGGTTTCCGATTTCTCCATGTTGACTTTCCTTATGTTGTACACATTGAATATTACGTAGAAATTCTTACATATTGTTGTTACTGGTGCTCTACAATAAAGAAAAAGCCTACTTTCGTATAAACATTTATTTACACAGAAGAAAAAGTACTTTAGAAACAACTAAGTTTTTATAGACACTGAATTACTTAATTATAGTTACATGAATATTTTTTGAACTCACTAATACTTTTTTTGGTGAAGGCTGCAATGAGATTGTGAGGCTACTCGATTAATTGGTTCGTTCTCAATTTTATAATCGAATTCTATCGAGTTTGTTGTTTTAAACGTCGCACCAAATAGACGTTAGGTCAATATTGCTCTGTATGTTTGGGAAATTATTGGTATTCACTTTCTACATCTTCAGATTGTCAGCCTAAAAAAAATTTCAAGTAATTTATACCTTCGGCCAGACCTTGCGCCACATTCTATATTTCCGTAACTTGATTTTTTCTCAGTCCTTTTTTCATAAATTAGAACTTTTTTTCAATCATTTCCACTGTTTTCTAGATATTTCGTGGTTTTTAAGCTCTTAGATGGAGTCAGAATCTTCAAAAAATATAGTATTTCTTTCCACCTCATTCTATATCTGAATTTAATTTCTTTTTTTCCAGTTCTTTTTTGAATTTGAACTTTTTTTCAAACATTTCTACTTTTTTTTTAGAGATATCGCAATTTTCAAGCTCTCAGATAGAGTCGGGATCTCCACAAAATAGAGTATTTCTTTCCACAATATTCTATATTTAATGGTAACTTAATTTTTTTCCGTTTCTTTTTTTCTAGAAATTTGAACTTTTTTAAAATATTTTTACTTCTTTTTAGAGATATCGCAATTTTCAAGCTCTCAGAAAGAGTCAGGATCTCCACAAAATAGAGTATTTCCTTCCACAATATTATATATTTGATGGTAACTTAATTTTTTTCCATTTCTTTTTCTCTAGAATTTGAACTTTTTTAAAATATTTCTACTTCTTTTTAGAGATATCGCAATTTTCAAGCTCTCAGATAGAGCCAGGATCTCCACAAAATAGAGTATTTCTTTCCACCACATTTTATATTCGATTGTAACTTGATTTTTTCCAGTTCTTTCTTCTAGAAACTTGAACTTTTTCATTTATTTCCACTTTTTTCTAGGGATCTCGTGGTTTTTCAGCTCTCAGATAGAGTCACGATCTCCACAAAACTTGGATTTCTCTGGAAACGCTAGTTAAAATAAAAATTAGAGAACTTTTTCTACCGACTCTGATCCTCCTCAATTCCCAGTTGACTCCCATTCCATCAAATAACAGTAATATACGAATGGCCACAAAATCAATTGTTCTGAAACATGTTCCGTACTCACCCCAAAACAAATGCTGAACACGAACAGAGTCACCCTCAGAACATTCTCATTGGGCTCGAACTTCATCCTGCGGAACCTTTTTGTCATCACATATCGAAAATCACTGCACAGCAATTGAATCGTCAGCGGTTTCATGGTGTACGCACTGAGATAAGATAAACTTTAGCCGGGAACTGAAAACTTTATGGCGAATCTAATCGTAAAATCTACGACGTCGTTAGAAAAACAAGCGGAAGGTGACTGCTACTACGGTGTCGGGGTTTCGTGATTATTGCTAATAGTTGCAAGGTGAACACAACCGAATCAAGTTTTGTTTCTTGTGAATAATCAACGTTGTATATTAATAGTCAAATAAAAACATTTTTCTGGGGGCATAACTATTTTGGAGGTCTACAGGTCAGCTAATTGTTCTCAATGGACATTGCTCTAGTAATGTTGTAGGAGAACAGGAATTCTTGCAGGTCGGGTCTGTCAGACATAAATCCCGACCAAGTTATACATTTTCGACAGAAAAATTATCCAACCCTCGCCCAAAAGTTTCACAATTCTCTGGCAGACCCGACCTGCAAGAATTTCTGCCGACCTGCGAGGTTTATTTTCAATTTAATCAGGAATGTGGAATTTTTCCATACTCAAAGGGTGGAGGTTGGAATTTTTTGTCGAAAATGAATAACCTGGTCGAGATTCGTGTCTGGCAGACCCGACCTGCAAGAATTTCTGCCGACTTGTAAGATTTATTTTCAATTAATTGAGGATTTTGGAAAATAACATTTAACCTCTCTCACAAATAATATCAACAACACTTGGTTCCATCAAAACTGGCTCTAAGCATCTATGCACTGCCGATCCCAATATTTCATCCAATAGAAAATGAACCAAGCTGAAAAAACGAAGGTACAATTTTACTATTATTTTAGAAACAGTTTTGAAAACCGCGACTACACACTACACTACACAATAACCTCTTCAGGCTTACTAACCTCTACATGGTGCTTCTTATTCGAATAATTGACGAACCCAAATGGGTTTAAAACTGATGTCCCGTTCCAGCAAGATGAAGTACCTCTTTATTACGAACTGGTGGATAGGTAATCATTATCTCTTAGATTGACCCGTTGTATTACCTGATATGACGCCCATGGACTTTTTTGTGAGAATTTGTCAAATCTAAAGTATACGTTACAAAACCGCGGTGTATTTCAGAGCTCAGACTTAGCAGAGAAGGTGGCTTAATTGCTTCATGAGTTTCCTACTTATGATAACGTGGAGCTGAAGCGCTTATTATTGATTAATTGAATGTGTGAATGAGTGTAAACATTCACGGCCGGAGATAACCGTGTGAACGCTATTTTTCGGTTTGTCAGCCGTGCTTCGCAGGTTTTTATGCCTGACGTTTCGTTAACATATGCGGTAGGAATTATAGAAGACGATGAGGCTACGGTCGAAGTATTTTAGTACTTGGTAGTAGAACCCAGTTAATTTTAGTGGGTTTATTCCTAGCATGGTTGAAATTGCTGGTCATTGAATTTAGTAAAAGTATTGACGTGGCACTTTAGGCAAAAGAGGTTGGCCATCCCTGCTTTATAAAGCTCAGATCAGACATTCTTTGGAGTATTGTTCTCATGTATGAAGCTTCGTCCCTAACCATACCCTGAAGCTGCTGGATTCCATCCAGAAAAGAGCCATCCACTTGAATGGAGATGCAAACATTACTTGCAACTTTGATTGTCTAGAACATCAAAAAAAAGGTTGGGGATTTGTTCCTCATCTATAGATACTTTTATCGAAAGAGTTCAAGTGACTTGGCACATTTGATTCCGCCAAGAGCGGCACATATCAGAAATACTCTACGGACTGTAGCTGCTCGTTGTTTTGAGGTTCAACTCAATACACCTCGAACTTCACTGCTCCAGAACTACGTGTATGAGGAATAAACTTTCAAAGAACGTTTTTCCAAATGAATTTAATCTCCACCGATTCCAATCCAATGTAAATCGCTGCTCTTGCACAGACACCGCTCTTACAGCGCCTCAAGACTTTTTCTGTAGTGCTTGTGTTCTGTCCTTAAAAAAATAACGTAACAGTTTTGTGTATCAATATTTACAACCTAGAAGTTCAAGGGTTTAAGAAACCATCGACTCGATTTTTTTCTGTTTCCTATCCATATTACCGCAAAATCCGTGTAATACTCGTGCAAGGTAATTAAAATATCGTAATTATTATAAATATTTCCGTTTTGGTCAAGGGAAGGACGACCCCCTGGCTGTAAACTGGATTATATCAATAACTTCAATCTGTTGTTTCAAATTCCGGGACCTTGAATTCACATAAAATTGACCACCTTATTTTGCTTTCTTTTTGATCAACTGACCTTATACAAATCTGTTTGTATTGACTGAAACATTAATTGATAAATAGATTGCGGTTGCAATCTCCCAATTTTTGGACGGGGCAAGATATCAGAGTCGGACAAAATTTGTATGAAAAGGAATTTTCAGTGGCGGATCCAGCCAGGGGGCGTGAGAGGCGCGTTGCCCCTCCTTGGGACACAGAAAATGTTAAATTGTGGGGAAATAGCGTGAAATATTTTGAACATCTGCTCGAATGTTCATTTTACAATCACACAGGTCTGCAAAAAAACTTTTCAAGAAATTGTTATGATTTCATTAACTGATTTTAAAAATGACATTTGTTTTTTTCTATAACGTATGGTTTTCCTACAAAATAAGGATGAATTAATTGAAAATGTACAAAAAAACGAGGAATTGTGGATTTATTTATATTATTTTAACATGAAGTGAAAGCAAAAAAAATGCTACATAGCTAAACTAAGCATAATAGTGATACACAAGTGTTTGCAAAGTGAATATAAGTCTATTGTCGGATAGACCAGGAAACTTTTCAGAAAGATACTTGAAACAATCTTCTTCTCTGTCTAATGTTGTCACAAACTGTTTCATTAGCTCCAATTTGATATGGAGAGCAGACAGACTGACACATACATGACTTGTTCCAGTAGGAACTGGATTTTTCCTGTTTAGATCCGTTTTGTTATAGAAAAAAATAGATTAAAACCGTATTTTATCCCAGATATACACTTACATTGTGTAGTAACTTGTTCATCATGAAAGCTACATAATTCAGACTCAATTTACGGCTTATATAGGCTATATAACACAGAAACAGAAAACACGAATCTGATATTTCTGTATCGAGTTATGCATTATGTTATGCATTATGCATTATGTTATGCATTATTTCCAGAAGATTTGATGGTTCACAGTATCAAATGATTTCTTTGGATCTAATGAAAGAACTCCACATTTTGTTCGGATCTGAATCTAGCTAGAATTGGCATCTAATACTGCTACTCTGTTCTACTATTTTTTTTGATATCCGTAGTGCCCATCGTATAATAATTTTGTCTTTTCAAAATATTGAAACAATCTATAATGTGCTTATTTCTCAATAATAATATGTTCAGTTGAAGAAGGTGATTATACAGGAAATATATTACTTCAATTATAACGTTAAGGTGGTAGAAGACACTGCGAAAAATTAAAGACACTAATTGTTTGTATAAATCAGAATAAATCAGCGTTACATGTAAACACATTTTTGCGAATATTCATAAACTGCCGTCGCCACAGAAATGATATGTTTATTCATAGTTGTCTGGTACAATTCAAATATACTTCTATCAGACCCAGTTATTTACTGGCATTGAAAATTTACTCATCTCAAATTATTTTCTGTGATGGAAAACGACTATTATTACATTGTTCCCTCTTTCTTCATCAGTTCCTTATCCATGTGACACCTGGGCTGAAAAGTCCTAAGGCTAAGAAAGAAAACACGTTTTTCTGTTGAGAATCACAATAATTCCAGCGTAGCTCCAAGCTTTCAATATCACTTCTGTAGAACGAATTATCATAGGCCTCAGTTTCAGCAATAACCTCTTCATTAGAGCGAAATTTTCTACCGGTGAGCACTTTTTTGAGCTCTGCGAACAGCCAGTCGTCGCTGGGAGCCAAATCTGGCGAATACGGTGGATGTGGGAACAATTCTAAGCTCAATTCATATAGTTTTGCCATTGTCTTCATTGATTTGTAACACTGTACATTATCTTGATGAACCACAACTTTCTTTTTCTTCAAATGAGGTCGTTTTTCCGCAATTTTGGCCTTCGGACGCTTCAGTAACGCCATCTAAAATTCACTGTTGATGTTATTTCCCTCCTGAATGTTACACATGAATATTACACATCCCAAAATTCCAGGCCATGACTTTTCCAGTCGATTGTTGTTCTTTCGAACGCTTTGGACGAGGTTCACCAGTTGCTCTCCACCCAAATGACCATCGTTTTGATTCTGGAGTGAAATGATGGATCTATGTTTCATCCATTATCACATATAGACGCCAAAATTCCGGTTTGATGTTCAAATATGGCCAAATACAGCTCAGAGTCATCAAGACATTCTTGTTTTTGGTCACCAGTGAGCTTGTGCGACACCTACTTCAAACAGAGCTTTCTCATATTCATATGCTCATGAATATAAAGTCAACACGTTCTTTTCAAATCTTCAAAATATCAGCTAACTCAATTCAACTTTACTTTTCGATCATTCGAAATGATTTTTTATTCATCCGTGAGTATGTTGGTTCACCTGTTGGTCTGGCCGATGTGAGTCTTGTCACAGTCTTGCCTTGATACTTCGTAAACTCCTTGGGATTCCACTGGTATCTCATTCTTTAGATTACGGAGCAAGGGCCTTATTGTCCATTCTGGTAAGAATCATGTTGCTATGTTGTGTCTGCTGACTTTGTCTATAGTTCATTTATTCAATGGTAGTTTGCTTGGGACTCAAGGGGTATCGGATTCTTTGGATTATGAAGCAAGGACGTTATTGCCCGTTCTGCTACGAATGATTTTGTTATGTTGTGTCTGCTGATTTTGTATGTGGTTTCTTTATTATATGGTAGTTTGCTTGGGACTCAAGTGCTATCTGATTCTTTGGATTACGGAGCACGGACCTTATTGTCCGTTCTGCTACGAATGATCTTGTTATGTTGTGTCTGCTGATTTTGTATGTGGTTCCTTTATTATACGGTAGTTTGCTTGGGACTCAAGTGGTACCTGATTCTATGGATTATGGAGCAAGGACCTCATTGTCCGTTCTGCTACGAATGATCTTGCTGTATTATAGTTTGCTTGGGACTCAAGTGGTACCTGATTCTATGGATTATGGAGCAAAGACCTCATTGTCCGTTCTGCTACGAATGATCTTGCTGTATTGTGGCTGCTGATTTTGTCTGTGGTTCCTTTATTATGTGGTAGTTTGCTTGGGACTCCAATGATATCTGATTTTTTGAATTATGGAGCAACGATCTCATTGTTCGTTCTGCTAAGAATGATGTTGCTATGTTATGTCTGCTGATTTTGTCTGTGGTTCCTTTATTATATGGTAGTTTGCTTGGGACTCAAGTGGTACCTGACTCTATGGATTATGGAACAAGGACCTCATTGTCCATTCTGCTACGAATGATCTTGCTGTATTGTGTCTGCTGATTTTGTCCGTGGTTCCTTTATTAAATGGTAGTTTGCTTGGGACTCAAGTGCTATCTGATTTTTTGGATCACGGAGCAAGGACCTCATTGTCCGTTCTGCTACGAATGATGTTGCTGTGTTGTCTCTGCTGATTTTGTCTGTGGTTTCTTTATTATATGGTAGTTTGCTTGCTATGACCGGCGTTTCTCGGGTTTTTTGCTGTTTTAAAGTGATCTTGGAAGCTGCTTCTATAATATTTTCTGAGTAGTAGTCATTCATTCGTAGAGTTGTCTCGATGGCGTTTAACTCTCGTTGTTTGTGTTCGTTGTCTG